TGGAAGACCCCTGAGAAATGAAGTCAAAATTTAAAATTATAAAAAAAAAGTTTGACGTAAAAGGGCATGAAATTGCGCATAAAAAAAGGTGCCAATGCAAATAAATTTTTCACTTTGGCAACCAAATCCTGAAAATTAGTCATCAAATTAGCATCTAGAATGCTTCATCATAACCTTACCTAGAGATATAGTGAATTAAAAAGACTTGCAAAGATAAATCTATGGCAAACTTCCTCGTTAAGTTTGTGTCCAAAAAGCAGCACATGCATCTTGATCAATAATTAGACGCAATCTTTGGTTTGGGTGAGCTTGAACGTTGTATATCATCCATCCTAGTGTCCACTTTGTTGCACATTAAAGATCTTTTTTTCATAACTTAATTTTGGAGGGTCTATCTAGAACGCTAACAGCATAAAAAAGGGTTCTGTTTGTCTTTAAAAATGGCGACAAACTTTTTTTTGAATTAGCTACCACTTTGAAAAATTTAGGAGCCAAGTGGTTATCAGAAGAAAAAAATTAATTTCACGCCCTGCATAATATTTATCATGACACCTATTGGTCTGGGGTGTGTTAATAACCAACCTATAAGCATTGTTGGTGCACCAGATATAGCAATTAAACCCTGCTACACAAGGTACATGTATTGTGGAGCACAGCAACTTTTCAATACTAGTACAGTAACAAACAGAGACATGAAGAGATGGAAAATTGGTGTAAAATATTGAGTTGGGAAGCTTAGAAGGAGACTACTGTTGCCCACAGTCCAACCAGCAAAGAACAAAAGAAGGAGATTATATAATTTTGTATCCAATGTGGGACAAAGAAAAAAAATACTGAGTTAGCAAGAGGAAGTGAACATAAAGACCTTTGAACTAAACAATCCAATGCTCTAACACTGGGCTAAAGAGACTTCAGTGAGGTAGGCTATTGTTAGGTTCAGGCAAGAACTACTTATATGAAAAATGAACTGTATTTTTAAAAAATATTAACATGAAAATGAATTTAATTTGTAACACCAACAACTAACTGAAAGGCTGTTTTCCTTTTTTGGAATGTTGTACCTACCATGTTTGTGAAGCCCTTTCTAAGGGAACAATTGGTGGGTTTGCCGGCCGAGGTAGGCAAAGAACATCCTGCAATTCAAGTAAATCAAAGCCATTCAATGACTATGCTAAGATTTATATTCTCTTTTTTTCTTATTGCATTCTATGAGACTACCTTCTACAAGCACTTTACTCTTGATTTAATTGCAGAAAAGTCTCCACTTTCTTTGTTTTGATGTGCTGGAAAATACCCTTGATATCTCTGCAACTGTTCTAATATGGCAATAAATTTCAATGGCAGACCATAAATTGTTAACCCTAAAATGAAAACTTCATTTTATTACCTTGATGAATCCAGCAGTGTAGAAACCTAAACCCATCAGTAGGCACAACAACCTTCCAAGTTTAGCATCAACAATCCTGCATAAGAAAATAGTCAGTTTTAATTTAAAAAAAAAAAAAACTACAACAACAAAACATACATACTTCAACAGTAAAGAATTAAAGGTTGATAAAATTTGCACACTGTGACATCCAAAAATTTTGACCACAAGACAAACAATGATCAAGAAACATCAGACATGGAAAAAATCAAGTCTTACAGCTTCTATATGCTTTTTGACTTTTTCAGGTATGAAAACTAGTTTGCAGGTTTCATCACAAACCCTGATAAAAAAAAATTATTGAAAATAGTGCATGATTCCTTATTAACCTATGAAAGTTTCTACCTACCAAAGAATAAAAACCCCCATGGGAATATAAAAATCTTCTGTGCCAAAGAAACTGTTCAGCTTCATGAGCTTTGTCCATAACGGGGTACGTCTTCTCTATAGAAAGACAAGGAAATTTTGCATGTTCATCAGTAAAAAGCAACTAAATTGATAGTGTGGTCTTACTGTCAGAAGAGTGGAAGAAGGGAAGACTGTCATGGGTAATAGTAATTGGTGGCATAAGTCAGCATAGCAACAATCTAAGGAGTTATTCATCAGTCAAGCATTTTAACCCTTTAACTCCCACGAGTGACCAAGACAGAATTTCTCTTTACAATATCAATACAATATCAACCAGTTAAGTGATAAGAATAGAGAAAAATATCGATTTGGGGATAATAAGTTGATCCAATACTAACTTCTCTTAACTAACTTTATGAGAAATGTATAGTTGACATTTAGGAGAAATACAAATTTGATCTGGGAGTTAAAGGGTTAAGCCTGGTTGGTAAAAATGAAAAAGTCAATCTAACCATTTTGGTTTTGACCACCAAGTACTGTTGGTCAACAAGTCTTTAAAAACTGGAACCAAGGGAAACACTGTATTTGTTTTCTCTTTATTCTCTCCCGACAGGCACATTTGAGGGTTTTGGGAAACAAAAGTCACCATTTCACACAGCACCTGCCATTTGGTGTCTTTTTTATTTCCCTAGGCAGTAAGCTAATTTGTTTGCTTTGAGAAGTTAGTGAGTTTAGTTTAGCTTTAGGAGGTAAGTGAGTCTTGACCCATGGCACAAGACATGTTCTTTCCTGAGCAGGAACATAATTAGACTGGGAGATTTGATAACAACTGTGATTGATTAGCCAGTAAGCTTCACTGAGTCTCTTTGTTTGGTTTGGTACTTAGTCATGCTTCCCACACAATATTCCAGTTTCCCTTTTATGCTTCTGGGCAAAGCAAACCACTGTTACATTAAGCCATTCTGCCTAACGACACAATCTTATGTTCCAGAAAGTGTAACAGAGAAGTTGAACTTAACACCACCAAAAAGAAAATACAGATAGGCAGCAAAGTTAAGAATTTGAACCTAAGACCTTCAGTTTTCAAACTCAATACCCTCATTCAACTCCCAAGATCTGATTTGTAACTCTCCCTTCTAGCTGCACATTTCCTTGTAAGCTACTTGGGAGAATCTGATACAACCAGTACATCAATTAAATGCTTTTAAGCTGTCAGATTTGTTTACTCTCATTCCTAATTTGGTTAATAACGTGCTGACATCATGAGGAGAAATTACATGTCAATCCCTTGTGGAAAATGGAAAAATGGGGTAAGTTTCTGAAGAAACTGTGGTGCTGTAGTAAAAAGGGGTCCTGATCCTGTTTCACATATCATGTAAATAAAAGAGGAAACTTCAAATCTCTCTTCTAGTGTACAAGGTTTCAGGGAAATCTTGAAGTTTTCACAAGATGAAAGCAAAAATTCACTAGTTCTGTATCTTTCAGGAGGCAAATCACCCCTCACATTGGTTGGTAAATTCATGAATCACATTACCCTTTCTGTAAAATTCATTTTAGCTTTAGGCATGCATCATGTATCAGTCCCTTACCACCCTTTTATAAGATAATTTGGTTTTATTAACTGAGTCGATGATCATAATTGGCCACTGTAAAGAGTTTCTAAACCTGAAATTTTGAGCATTAGACCTTTGTTAGGATGAATGCGGATAACATAAATTATAGGGGTCACTTCTCTGTCATACCAAATCCCCTATTGGCACAATTCACAGTATTTGTTTGCAGACTGTTTTTGGTTGATATTTCCACCTAGCATGTCTAAATATCTAACTCTAAATTCATTCAGAAAGATGCTTAAAGTATTTTAAAACACTCCCACCATTGAAGCTCATAAAATTTAAAAGACCAATGGTATGAGGGTAAAAACAAGATGTGTAGCAAACAAAATATCTTAATTGTATCTAAGAAGATTGACAGACCTTCATCTGTCTTAATTAAAATTAAAAAGAAAGAGAAAGGCAAAATATATTAAAAAAAACACACACACACAAAAGCTCAGTTGTTAAAAGGTAAATAGTATATAATTATACAAACGACTGACTTAAGAGGCTTGCAGGTAAATCAATATTGATTTTTTCACAAGCTTGATATCAGTCAAAAATTAGAAACAGTATACGAGGTTCGCGAAACTAATGCATCCAGCTTTTTCTCAAAAAAAAAAAAAAAAAAAAAAACCGGTTCACCGTCTTTCCACCTTCTACTGGATTTGCGATGGACGGGCACTTAGGAGATCAAATCAGAACTAAACATGTGAATGAAATTTACTGTGTTGCGATTCATTTGCATAATAATGAGAGGTTTTTAGCGTCTACCAATTATTTCCCCTTGAGTGGGCGTCTATATCAATTCCTTTAAGTTAATTGTTCGCGAAAGATCGCCGATGAAATGGTCTATGCGTGGCTCGTGTCCTTTTACAATAAAAGAAGTATTCTGACTAGCTTGAAAACACAAAATGTACCAAGAATTTGTACTTTGCCCTTCTTGTCATCACCTCTTCGTCACTAATAACTTAATCACTACTGGATATAAAAATTGATTTGATTTTATCGCGATTGCGAAATCGAATGGCAATTAAAAATAAAATCAAAACAAGGTAGATTGTGCGCACATAATAAAAAGGAAACCTTATTGATAGCGAAACACACACATTCAGCTATAGGAAAGCCTACCAGGCTCAAGCAAATGAAAGAGATACGTCTCCAACATCCGGCTGCGCTAGGAAAATGAAAAGCCGGATGCATGCTTTGGAGTCAACGGCAAATAAAGCGCGCAGGACTGAACACATTACCTGAAGCGCTACAAGAGGAGGTGTTCCAATGAGAATTGAGCTGAGAAGACGGTGTCGAAGCCATCTTCCAGCAGGTCCAAGTTTATCTGTGGGTAAAGAAGAAAGAAATTAATCATTACATCAAAAGGTCAGGTGATGCAAAGCTTCGCTGTGAGTCTGAAAAAGCACAACAACTCGTGAAAGCGGGTGGGACAACATCAGAGCGAATTACTCAGCGAAAATCTACCAAAAAAAATAACTGTAAACAGAACTACGGTAATCATACCTATTGGCGCCGAAACATACTTTTCGCCGTCCTCATCAGTTTCGTTAGGATGTTTTTCACATGATTTATCATCATCACAAAACAAAGAACTCCCTTCCTCGGCCATCTTGACAAGACTTCACCGGCTGAAAGACGACCAGCGGTAATCACGACAGTTGTATGCGCACACTGTCTTCATCCCTCATGCTCCATCAAAATGGCGGACGTTGAAGATGATGAGAAGTTTTTGTATGGAGGTAAGGATAGACTTGAGAATATACCCTCGTAAGCCATATCTCCAGCGCTTGATCCTGTCATGATATATTTCTCTCCGTGCCCTTTAAATTACTTCATAAACGGACAAATGAATACTTTTGAGATGACCTTTTTGAGCTCTCATACATATCGAAGAACTAATTGTCAGATACTCGTTGGAAACTTGTCTCATGAAATTTTCTCCGAAGAATCGTTCAATTTTTCGCTTCGTTTCCCAGTAGAATATTAATTTTGACTCCGGAAAATATAGTGATCATATATCTCAGTAACCTCTAAAGTATGGGTTTGTACAGATTCTGGAATTCTTGAAAAGTTTAGTAATCTGCCTATACAGATGTGGGTCCTGTAAAAACCATCAAAAATAGATTTTAACTCTTGAGGTAGAATAAAATAGGTCTGAGGGCTTATGGTGCAAAGTCTATAAAGTTTCTTCTCTAAACGCTTTGTAAAATTTAGGAAATCTTTCCACTCAAGCTTCTGAAATTTCTTGAGCAGTTTTGCATTGTATTTTTTCAGCACTCTGTGTATGTGCACTGCATCATTGTTACATCAGTGGAAAGAAAAAGTTAAAATCACTCAATTCATCAATTCTGCATGAAGAACTGTTGATGAAACATGTTACAGCTTGTTTTATCCATCTATTCAAGTGCAAGCTGACTAATTTCAAATAGTGGTTCCCAATTAAAAAAAGTTCCTGTTCAGAATAAATTGTAAATACATTTGGAAAAAAATTGGATTAATATAGTAATTTTTAAAGAGTAAGTACCTCTAACTGTTTTAGAAGTACCCCATGTCTTTCAGTCCTTGTAGATATATGATGGTATATTAATTTTTTATTCACTCTAAGGTGGTGATGCACAGGAAAAGGACCAAACATTGAGGTAAGAAGTTTGTTTTCTTGAAGGAGATAAACACTAGGTATGCCAAACAAAGACATATAACAAAGTAAAATTATTTTTGAGCAGGCATAAGTTTTTTAGTGTTAAATTTAACACTTTTACTCCAAAGATCTGGTTGTTTATTCTCCTTTCTAGCTGCTGCTGCTACAAAAAAAGTAATTACCAGAATTTGGTGTTAGATCAAGATAACGAATTCTACCTGATAAGTCTGAGCACTCTCATTACCCGTTTGCTGGAAAATGTATGATTGTTATATGGAGAAGTTACATGTTCATCACTTGTGGGAGTTAAAGGTTGCTTGCAGGATGCGTGTTGTACTTAAGCACATGTCTTGGGCTTAGTCTGAGTTTTCTCTAAGAAATGTAACAGCAAGAGAATATGTCTGAAAAAGCTTGAGCCATTGAAATTTAGTTGGAGAGTTCTCAGTATTCTGATGCCTCAGGGAACACCCTTCTCACTTCCTTACCCACTCCCTCAAGTAATTTATAGGGAACTTTACCAGTAGTATGGGTGGCAAGTGTCAATAAAAAATCTCTCATTGAAACTGCATTGAATGAAGGGGGTGGGTTTCTAAAGAAACAGTGGCACTGCATTGGTAGCAGAGCATAACAAGATATCTGGTTTTATCAACTGTTATTGAGTCATTTAACTCCCAAAAGTGATTAACATGTAACTTTTCTTGATAGCAATAAATTATCCAATAGTTTGAAACTCTTCTTGGTGGGTAATTTGCATTGTCAACTCTGTCGATAAAACCAAAGAAAAGTAATTGATTACTTTTCACTTTGTACACTCTCTACAGCACTGAAATTAAACAAGAACCAAAAGAAGAAGAAGAAATTACAGAAAATGGACAAGTCAAAGATGAAGATGATGCCAAGGAAGCTGGAGAGCTAGTGAGTTCTAAACTTCACCTAATACAACAATTTTCAACAGACCTCTGCATGTTTTTGACAGAAAAGCCACTTTCACTCCCAAGGGTGAATTTGATGAAACTTCTTTGAAACAGTTTCTTGGAGCTAGAGGATTTAAAATTACAGATTTTATCCAAAGCAAGAAAAATATTGACATCTTCAGTATAATTTAATATGTAGACTACTGTGTTACTACTGTTACTGGCAGGGGCATCTTAACCCTCTCACTCCCAAGATCTCATTATCAATTCTCCTTACTGTCTTTCATACTATTCTTATGATGCTAGCTTGGAGAATTTGGCATTAGATAAACTAAAAATCCCTTTATTGATATTTTTCTTTATTCGCATCACTTGTCAGCTTGATGTTGTTTTGATATTGCGAAGAGACATTCTGTCTTGGTTGCTCCTGGGAGTTAAAGAGTTAAACAAAATTAACCAATTATGCTCAAGGAAAAAGACAATGATTTTAGCCAAATTCACTCAAGTATATCAGTGGGTAGGACCAGATGAAGTAGAGGTGACAAAGAATTTTCAAGCTATCAATAATTGCTTGTTTCTTGATTTTGGAATGTTAAGTTTAGTGTTGGTGTCCACGGTGACAGTAGTTTGTCCTAGTGCCTGACTTCAAATTAACTGAGTAACTTACAGTTTAGTGATGAATTTTATAGAGCAATGAAGATGATGAGGAGGATGATGATGATGATGATGATGACGATGATGATGATGTCCAGGTCACTATTGGGGAAATAAATACGTCAGCAGCACCATATGGGTAAGGATGTACAGTTACTTTTTGGTACCAAATGTAATGGTTAAAAATATCAAATTTGAAATACATAGGACATGTGCTAGCGCAGAGTAAAGCAAAGTTTGTACTCAAGCCAATTCACCCACCTGGTGGGAGCTTATCCTGGTTTCCTCAAGGAATCAGAGTAACACAGTATCCATTTAAACTCTTGGGTGAGGCACTGTGAGGGTCAACTGTTTTGCTCAAGAACACAACGCATTGACTAGGCCAGGTCAAGAACCCAGACATCTCGACTCAGAGTCCAGCCCACCAACCACAAAGCCACAGTGTTTTCCACATTGCTGCAGAGTTTGTCCAGCTAAATTTACCAATCCCTACATGCACTGTTGCAGAGAGATTGCAAAAAGTTGGAATTTTTCTACAAGTGTCTCCTACATGTACCATGCTGATGTTCAAATAATTTTTCCTCAGAGCTCCATATGCAGCACCTGTAAACTGGAATTTCAAGTCAGGAAGTGGATCTGCTGCAGTAAAGGATACAAAAGACAATAAACACATTGATGTGGATGCAGTTGGTACAGTCAATGGTGTGTCTGTGCATGAATTCGATTTGGACTCAGTTGATGACAAACCTTGGAGAAAGCCTGGTAAGAGTTGTGACATCCAGTGATGCTAAGAAAACCACCAAAGTATAGAGGGAAGTTATGCCCCATTCACAGCAGCAAAACCAGGTTAACTGAAAAAGAATCAGAAACAGAGAACTGAAAAACTGAATTTTTCTTAGGGTTCTAGTGATCTCACTGTGATACATTTGAAGTTGACAAACATCTGATCAACCAGTTTAAATGAAGAAAAAAAGTTTAAGCCGCTCTAACGATCAAAAACAGTGTTAAGACATGTTTAAGATTTGGTGTGATAGGGGTGTTAATTATTCTCCTTTGCAGCACTTGTATGGTCTTGTATGCAACACAGTCATGGACAGAGAAAAGGTTGCATAATGAAACCAACACTGTGTTACCAGTCACACACGAGAGTGGTTAACCTGTGGTATCTCTACTCGGGAAATCAGGCATCCATACTTTGTGTGTAGCAATAACTGTCTCTTGTTCACAGGTGCTGACATCACTGATTACTTCAACTATGGCTTCACGGAAGACACATGGAAACAATACTGTGAAAAGCAGAGAAGAATGAGAATGGAATTACAAATGCCGAAGAAAATATTTGTAAGTTGTGATTTGCTGTTAGTTGTAGCTGTCATAATACGTCCGCCATTTGGTCCAATGAAGCTATTTATAGCGCCATCTGAATGCAGCAGAACAGACAGCCCTTTGTAAATGTGTTGTGCCTAAAACACTAATTTATCCTCCCTTATGGTCTTCGTTAAGTTTTCCCCTTCATATCTACAAGTATGTTAAACCACCTAAACTGTTGTAGAATCGCGAAGGAACTTGAAATATAATTAACGTAGCTTGAGTTGCTGGCATCAAAGGGTAAAGAGGTCGAGATGAGGGTTATGCTGGTGCGAATTGCCATCGTTGTGATCTTGGTGAGTTGTTAGAAAACCCCTCCCTTCATTTGTTCGCCGAAAGCGTGTAGAAACCAAGAAAATATCGTGGCCTGCTTTTAGAAAGGGGGAAAGGTTAGTTTATTGTGGGTGCGAGATGCGTTTTTCCCGGTGGATTGCGCTTAGCGCCCACATAAACTTTCCTTCCCCACTTTGTACGGCCTCGCATGCTATGATGAACAGGAATGCAAATTACTCACACAGATAATACTTACTAGTTCGAATGAAAGCAAGGCAATGGTATGTAATCTAACTAAAAATTATACTTTTTCTGCGACTTTTTATTAATCCTTACAACCTTAAACTCTTAGGTATTTTTGGTATTTGTTTCTCTTCTTTGAACTTTATAAACATTTGTGTTTCAGATGCACCCACCAGCCACAGTGGACCCAACCTTGCTGCCTGATGGTTTGTACCATGCTTAGTTAGCTTCCAATTTTCCTGCTCTATATACTGTTTTTCTTTCTCTCCTTGTTCTGCAGAGGTCCCATAGATGCTAATGTATTTTTATTTGAAAACGCAAACCTTTTTTTATGTGTTTGTGCGTATTACTGCAGTAAGTATCCTCAAAACGCCGATGGAAACGTAGACTTTTGAAAACGGTTGCAAAAGTGGGGTCCTTTGAATTGTATCGGTTAGGAAGTGCTTCGTTTCTGGTACGGAGAAGTGAAACCAGTCGCTTATTGGAATAGTTCTGATAAGATGAATTTTGTTTTTGGCAGGGAGACCCAGAAAGGCAGGCCCACCCCCTGAGAGAAAACTGGAAGGAAGCATTGATGTTATCGGCGGAGAGGGCTCCAGAGGTAAGGTTATGTGACTGGTAAACAATTAACACGGCCAGCACGTCAAGAAAAGATGTATAGATATATGCGAAGTTATTATGTGACGTTTTTTATGGACCGAGACTTGATAGAGGTTTCTGAAAACGAACGAAAGAACGGGGTCAAAATCCGGCCTTCTTGACGAGACAGGCTCGGTCAATATAGGGTTTATTGTCTCACAAATAATTACTTGAAAGGAATTCACTTTTCGGGAACAAAGTAGGAGTCAAATGAGGCCCACGGTTCGCTTCATCAGGCTCGCTCGCAACGCCGGCCGCGTAATAAAACCGCCTAGTACCCCAGTGAAGGTTACTCTTGAAGTTATTAGAAGCGAGGTTTCACAGTGACGAAGATCAAGTTGAAAGACAGAAAATGGGATTTATCTGGGACCTTTGTGGTGGAGGAGTTACGGTCAAAAGAGCATACGACTTGCTCCCCTCGCGCAGCGAACTAGAAACAAAGGACGAAAAGAACCAAAACATTGAAAGAGTTCAGTTCCCTTCTGATAAGCAGTTGAAGCTTTGGATGATGTGAAGTATTACCGCCAAGCATACTGCAGTGCTTACAAGGCAGATCTCCAATATAGCCGCATTTTTTAATCTGAACATTTATTTTTGTGAACAGTGTCAAGAGGGCCGAAAACTTGTATTAGACGGACACTTTTTAATTGTATTAACCCTCCTATAGAGAATCACTGAGGCCCACTGCTTGTGGAAAACTGCGGTTTAGGTAACCTCGTGTAAATAACTGGCCCTAAGTTTCTTTGAAATTGATAACAGATATTGTTCTATATTTGTTTGTTTGTCTGGTTTTTTCATTATTTTTAATTTTTCTGATTCAGTTTTGATATCATTTCAGTGGAAAGTCGCCGGAGACGTGAAGATGACGTCATGATGCCGATGATGGAGGAAGGTATGAACCCGGATGTGGCGGCTCGCCAAGGGATGATGAACAAAAGACATTTTCCTCCAGGTCTGTTGATTTTTTTATTGTTTTTTTTCTATTATAAATTTTTTTGCTTTGCTTTTTAACACCGATATAGAAAATATTATCTTAAATTCAGTTCTTGCCGTTTGCCGTTCACGTTAGCGTAGTTCTAAATTCATTAGGACCCCTCCGTGGTGCGACCTAATGTGTGTCCCCCCATTTTTGGTTTGACATTTGTGGTTTATGTGATGATTCCTTGGCTTCTATTTATCAGGTCCACCAGGAGGTCCCCATGGGATGCCACCGGTGTCGGGAGCCCCACCATTCATTCCCCCTCACCCAGACCCCTCAATGGGCCCTCCAAATTCAGGAGCACCACATGGTATACCTATGCATATGCCACCTGGTGGTCCCATTCCACCCGGAATGCCCCCTCCCTTCAGACCCATGGGTCCAGATGGACGACACCACCCCGAGGGGGCACCTCCGGGTATGCCGCCCCCGGGTATGCCCCCTATGCCTGGCATGGCAGGTCCGCCACCCCACGGATTTCCGCCTGAGATGGGATTACCTCCGGATGGAATGCCACCGCCATTTGACCCAGGTTTGTCTTCATCTTTGTAAAATTGTCATCTGTGAACCAAATAATTTAAAAACTGATGATAATGTATATATAAATAAGTTTGAGCTAACATAGGTAATTGTTCGTAAATGCTTGACGGCGAAGGCGTTTCCAAAAATGCACAGTCAGTTCCCTTTTAGCCGATGAATGATTGCGCGAAATTTCAAACGCATTCTGCGAAGCGTCATGTTAAAGTTAAACTAGCGGCTAACTGGAGGTGTTTACTGACGGTGCAAGTAAAGTAAACGAATCAAAAAGCTGAAAACTGAATTTTGATGAAGGAGACTATGAACAATTATCATATAAAGAATTACCGGAAATTTTTCAACGCAAATGTGCGCCTCTTAAAATTAAGAGACAGTCGTGGCAAATTTTCCTTTACTAAACACTAACTGTATGTTTGCTAGGTCTTGGTAACGTTTTCAACTTTTCCCGTTTTTGATACGTGTGCGCTGTCTTTCGCGCCAACCATATTTTCCTCGCGCTCTCTCAGATTGTTTTTCTTTTTCACGCTTGCTAACTTATCGGTTAAATTATTTCCTTGCGCTGTGGAACACATGCGAGTTTTCTCGCCTTTGACAACTGAAACATACTTTAATCGAATCTCTCCTGTCTTTGAAATCAGTTTCATTTGTTCTTGTTTAATTTAAATACACTAGTTATCTATTAGGTAAATTTGACTATTCGTGAGTGGTAACCGAACAGCTACCAACATGGTGCCGTTTTTAGCCAAACTTGTCCTTGTTTTGCAGGGTTTCCAGGTCGCCCGGGTGCAATGAGCATGCGTGGTAGAGGTCGTGGGCGAATGCCGGTAGGAGGGCCCCCAGGGGTTCCGCCTGGAATGCCTCCACCCGGGGAATTTCCGCAAGGAATAGACGAAAGGTCAGTGCCTTGTTTCCAAGCTGTTCCTCTCAAAGAATGCCAATTCAATCGCGAACTTTTCCCTTTTCATTAAACTATGCCATTTTTACTCGAAGGTTTTTATACATTTTAATAAAGCCGCTAAGTGTTTGCCCACATGGAAGTCAAATTCATTACGTTAAGGTCCTATTAAAGTCTTATTATGATTAAATTCTTTGTGTAGAGGACCAAGACCGTTTGAAGAAGGAGCGGCGTTTTTCCCAGGAGGAGGTAAGGCACATTTTTACAATTGTTATAATCCCTTTGGTAAAGAGGTCGTAGGATTTCACGATACGAAATCGATCAGTGGTGAAACGTTTATGCGGCCTGCGTTTCAATGGTGACTATGTTATTATTAAAAGCTGTCAAAGACAATTTTTTTCTTCGTGTAAATGACTTGCCTGGGAAACTGTAGACTAGGGGCTATTTTACTCCAGCTAATTTTCCCTAGTTGGTGTTGTTGAAAAATTTTCTACCTGCGTATGGAGATAGTGATCAATTTTTCCTTCTCTCGAACGCTTGCCGAGAAAATTTTGTTTGTGAAAGCACTTCCAAAAAGCCAATCCTCAATGAAGTTATTTTTTTTTCTTTTAGTTTTAGCTGCAAATTTACAGCATTTGTGTTATGACTCTGATTTTGTGCAGATATTAAATAAGTCGCTTTTATATCTGTGGTTCAAACGTTTCATATCCTTTTTTTTTCTGCACACAAAATTGTTTCCTCTTGATTTTAAAACAATATTAACAATTCAAGCTTAAAATTTTGCTGTCGGTTGGTTTACTGTGATAAATTTAATAATTTTCCAGGAGTTTTTCCATCTACAAAGATCTGTCTCCCTGTACTTCAATCAATTTGTTTAATCTTGCGAGGGAGTTGAACAACTTATCTCTTGTATTGATCTTAATTACGTCTTCTTAAAATGCTCGATTATTTCCTCCATACTTTATCTTCTGAAGGGCAACACGCTCAATTGAAGAATGTTTATAACGCGATAATTTCCGGGTCTTCAATCTCAATCGAAGTGACTTTCAATTAATGCCTTGTAGATGTTTTTTAAAACTATTCTTTACTTTGAAAGCTGAAGAAAATGTTTTGTTCATTTTCATATCCTTCCCAGTCGCCAAATAGCTGAAACAATTCGCTGAAAAAAGCTTTAAACAGCAAAGTGAAAAGAGAATTTGTTTTTCACCTGTTTTGCTGCAGCTTAATCTTGCGATGCAGTTGAACTTCTTTATCTATGACACTGATCCTAATGACTTCGTCCAAGAGAGCTCAATCAATTACCTGCACCACGATAAGCAGGGCTTTGGCGCCAAAGGCGTCATCAATCAGTTTATTGCACGTAATGAAATTCTCTTCTTGTGTCTCAGTTTAAGTTGTGTCACCAAATAAATCTTTTCACCAAAGGACGTGGGCTTCTTTTTTCTATTTTTTACAGACCTATGCTCTTTTTTTAGGTTAAATTTGCTGTTTTCCTGTTTTTTCTTCTTATCTCGTTCAAATTGTCAGTAAACATTCGTGTAAACATTGAAACAGGAACTTGTCTGGAAAGTACTTTTGAACGGAAATTTCTAGATGGTTTGTGGGTTTTTTCAATACCACCGACGTGAATTTTCTCTAATTTCATAAGAAATGGTCTTTTCAGTGAACCAAAAATCGATCAGAACAGATGTATGTAAAATACAGCAATGCAAAACTACTGCGATCAGTAACTCTAATTGGGATTCACAAATCATTCATTTCGAAAAAGTGAGTCATGTTAGTCTTTACACTTTCTGATGATGATTTTTTTCTTGGGTCGATGTCTCTAAGGATCAAATTTTTTTCTTTCTTTGAGGAAATGTCTTTCAGGCGATGAAGTAATAAATTCCCATCATCTTGTATACAATCTAAAGGTTTTTGCAGGAAATTCAAGACAAAACTTCAACCACAAATTAAAAAAAACAAACCTTCTCTTCCATGTATCTAAGTTGAGTAAATTTAGAATTGAATGGATCAAAAACTCTTAATAAGAAGTTTTTAGCATGCAAGATTTTTCAGCAAACATGTAGCGAGGTCAGGAAAAGGTATCTGCCCGAAGTTTTATTGATGAAACACCAAATTCTCTGAACTGATTTTCAAGGAAATACAAAGCAGCTGGAATGGAGAATTAATTTTCAGATCGTATGTGGATTTAGATTAAAAAAACTGCATTTCCTTGAAATGTTACGCTTACGTCTTGCTGCAAAATAAAACTTAGTTTTAAAAAATTAAAATCGATGCACTTGATCTCCGGAATGATTTGTCTCTTTACTGCTCCTTCCATTTGATTTTCGAAAGCTCTGTTTTTACGGTGTTAACTGAACCACTGCACTCTACGCCATCGCCCGTTCTATGATGCAAGCTGGAAACTGTCGAAAACCCTCGTCAGTAGCTTACAAAGGTTGGTTTTCTCTAAACAGTTTTATAAAAGAGAAAGAAAGAGAAAGAAACTCGAAACTCTAAAGAAACTCGTCGTTCTTTAGTTTTATCATTATTTTTCAACATCTTTCTTGCTTTTCCTAAACGTTACTTTGCGATGCCGTTTATTGATAAGCGAAACAAATGGAAACAATACAACCCCCCATTTCATTCGTGCTATTTTGCTAAACATAGGCGGCAGAAATTTATAGAAAGCTTTTGTTACTCTTCAAATTTTCGGAAGTTCCTCTTTTGCAAAAATATCAAAACAGAAGTGCCGTTTCGTTTGTTATTTAAATTTATTTCCAGACATTGTCCCGTGACAAATGAAACCTATTTTGTATTTAATCCGATTTACGTTGATTTTCTTAAGAGACTAATATACGATTGGCTCTATTTATTGTACTCTTTTTATTCCTCTCCCTTTTTTGGCTAATACATGGGAAGAATACAAAAGCGATGTCAAATAAATATCTTTCTTTATAACGTCAGTCTTCAGTCAGAGGATTTACTCAATGTCCAACCCAGGCTATGTTTTGGCGGAAACCGACGGTAGCAGCTTCAGCTGTTTCCTACCGTTTGACCCATTTTCGCGCTGGAAGGATAAATTACCTTTTGTTTGACTGCTTCCTGAAAAGTTTTTCTTTGGTTTTCCCCGTTTCTTCTTGTGTACGATGTAAGGTAAAGTTTAATTCCTGATGATCGTGGTCAATTTTGCCATAGTCTAGAATTTTTATCCCGAAAAAAAGAAAAAAAAAACTCATGCAGTGTGATGATGTTTAGTGGGCAATAATTTCCGGACCTTAATTTCGTTTGAAATGCTATTTAATCAATGTTTTTTTCATGTTTTCAAAACAACTTTTCTCTATTTCAATAACTGTTTTAATTTCCTCCCCCGTTTTGTCATTGCTGAAATAATTTGTTGAGGGAAGCTCCTGATAGCAATAAGAAAAAGACGCGAAATGAACAAAATCCTGATGAAATTAAGTTTTCCTCGTGTAATTGAATGTTTGTAAATATATTGTGTCGTTTTTATTTCGGTTCTCTTACAACATCGCTGAGGATCTTTCACAAATCCTCAGTGATGTTGTAAAAGATTGCCGTAGCGACAACTTATGGGAAATGTATATAATACTGATTCACTCGACGAGAAAACATTTTGTATCTTGTAAATGACAGTGTCCTTAATCCGAAAATATGTCGTCTTCGGCAAAATGTCGACCAAGCACTAATTTGCATTTACACGAACAATTCCCCAAATGAACCTCTTGAGTACGCCAAAGAAAGTGACGTTAGATTGAATTTATTTCGTCTCACATTGGACATCGTTGTATTAGCCTAGCCCTTTTGTTATTTCCTTTTTACCGACAGGTTTAGGGTCTTTTTGAGGATTATCTTTTTTGTAAAGAAACCGAATGCAAATGAACAGTAATTTTGTTATCAATGCCAAATATTTTACCCCGTGTCGGTGCTGTAGTAAAAATAATACATTGATCCTGTCAGTTTTGGAGATTATCTATGGGGAATATGTGACCGCCTTATATGACAGATCGTATCTCAAAGATTATCGTTGAGTGCACTCGAGAATTTCATTGGATTCGTGGACTAAATATGTCACCTCCTACCCGAATGTCGGTAAGGTTGGCTCAGTTCTCTATCACGATAACCTGCAGGTTTTTGAAAAGTGAAAAGGTTCATTATTTAACCTTTTTTACACGCCTAGGTAGGAAAGACAGCAGCAGTTGTTTGATATTTTCGTGGCGTAAAGAATTCTTAGACACATTTATTGATGGCTTTTGGGGTGAGTTAAGACATTTGTAAAATAAATGACTCTGACTTTTACATTGGCTTCCTGACTTCCTTTCTGCAAAGATTTTATTGCGAGCGCGTTTTTTCCGGAAAGGAATTTTTTCATTCTGATCAAGTGTCGACCTAAAGCTTTTATAAGCAAATTTCTTGTTTGTGAATGTTTTTTTTTCCTGTTCGCCTCCTTTCCACGGTGGAGTGGTTCTTATTGGAAAATATTTTTTTAAGTGTGCATAGCTTAAATTACAGGTGTTATGACCCGAGGCAAATTATTTATCCGGAATCTGAAAGTTTACTTAACCTGGGGGCTTCGATTTTGCCTATTTTCTTGAAACCACTGTATTATTTGGAGTGCAGCTAATCTGCAAAAGATAATTGCTATCTACCTTATTGTAATCTCAACCTCACAAGAGACTCCGTTGCAAATAATCCTCTATTTTCCACAGGGGTCATTTGTTCTTTTTTGTTCCAAAGTAATTCAGTACTTTTTCGGTTTTGTTTTGCTGTGTTGTTTTTGGTTTGATACTAATGTGTGTAGGTAATTTTGATAGTATAAATGTAAACGCCAAGCCTATGGAAAGGTGCTTTTATTGTCAAAGCGTGCACTGGCAATTTGTAACGCGATATTCAACCCAAAACATGGCCGAAATTTGGTGCTGAATACCTCGGATTTTCGCGTTCATAGTTACCGAGTTACAAAGTCACTGCTAATTAGATCCTTCCCATTATGCCTGCCGGCAATAGCTAAATGCCAAAAATTTGAATATTACTCCTTATTCGTTTATCGTCGATCAGCTTGCTATCCTATCCATTAGAACAACATTGTCATTCAAATTTACACAACCGGTGATTACTCTAGCAAGAACACAAAATGCTAACCCCTGTCATTGCTGTAAACAACAAATCACAAGGCGTTGTTACTGATATTCCGTGTCAAATATCGGTTTTATTTATATCAAATTTTATTTTGGACTCTGTTCGTAACTTCATACTCCACGTCACCGTGGCTCACGTGGGATCATCCGTCAGAGGAGATCAGTCTCCGCTCGTCCGTCCGTCTTCCGAAGTACATGTAGCACACACTACATCAGTTAATTGAGACGTGAAAGCGACCGGGAAAAACACTGAGGCACAGTGGGGAGGGAGCTAGCGTTAAATTAAGCCACAGGGAGGCCTGCGCGACTTACTTTAGTGAGGCAACAACAGAAAGGATACGCATTTGGTCTTTGTTTCAGCCATAATCAGTGTCTCCACGTTTTGCGATTTCCTTACCAAGATTGCTGTTTGTCATCATTGCTGAGAAGCTCGTGATCAACAAAAGCAATGTAGAGTCTGTTGGGATAGATTAATATTCAATTTTGTGATCTCGTTATCAGACTTGCGGTCAACATCGGTCGCGCCAGCTTTGCTACGTTTGGTGCAAAGTTGAATACTCAAGACATCAGTTCGCGGGCATATTTGAACAATTACCTTCGATCAACTCAACAGTCCAAGAAGCTCTTCGAATTTCGGACTGGCACCACATTATCGTGTACTTATTTCCTTCGAAATAGGATTGCACACAGACTAAAACGGTCTCGACATGAATTCGTCGGGTTTCCCCGAACTTGTTACTGCCATGAATAGCAGCAACGTAAGCGAGCCAGGAGGACAGCAATTTCATTTCTACGTCGAACCGTTTTCCTTGCAGCTTGTGCGATTTATTTTAGACGCCGTAATTTTCGTGGCTGGCGTCCTAGGCAACGGTCTGGTGTGTGTTGTGGTGGTTAAAGAACGTCTTCATCGTTCTCTCGCCTACTGTTTAATTCTAAACTTGGCTATCAGCGATTTAGGTATCCTCCTGTTTAGCCTTCCATTTGGCGTGTTACGCACAGAGGATGTCACCTGGCCGTTTGGAGAGTTTGGCTGCAAGGTGCTTTACCCGTTGAGTGATGTTTTTCACGGTGTTTCCATCGCCAGCATCACTGCCATAGCCGTTTTTCGATACCGTGGGATCATTTCCGGGCACGGTTTGAGCCAAAAGGAGACCATGAAAACAGTCAAGGTTGTCATTTTGTTAATGTGGCTCCTGTCCTTTTTGCTGTTCGTGGTGCCGTTATTCTTTGTCATGAACTACGCGGAAAATGGAAGCCGTGCAGTCTGTCACCCCCAGTTTCCGAGTGTCACTTTCTACAAGCTGTACCAAGGGGAGACAGTGTTGTTAACTTATATTTTACCTCTGGGTATAATCCTCTTCACCTATCTTCGTATACGAAGACGTTTGAACGAGAGCATCGCCTTACACAGCCACATTCGTCGAGAGTCTCACCAGCGTCCTTCCTCCTCATCAGCGGGAGGAAGCCGCCGCGCAAGTGACCGCAACTACAAAGCGCTTAAAATTTTAACGCCAGTTGTTCTGGTCTTCTTCGTTACACTGTTGCCGTACAATGTTTTTCGCGTGGTAGACATCTTCCAGGACACTTCGAAGTTTGAGTATTTGTTGTTTTTTTTCAAAGTATGCATCCTGTTTTTTGTCTGCAACAGCTCAGCTAATCCTCTCATTTATGCTTTGTTCAGCGAGGAGTTCCGAAAGGCTTTCAAGTGGCACATAAAGCATTGTTCTTCATCGGGGAAACGTTCCAGGCTTTTTTCCCTATCAGAAAAAGTATCCTCATTCCGCCGCGCTAGATCTTTTTTCGCCCGTACTAGTGCGCGTGGTAAAGAGCGAGGTAGTTTGTCGGCTTCCGACGTTTTCGTGTAGGGGACAATTTAGATTTTTTTATTTTTTTCGCGAAGAAAAGTTACCTCATATTTCGTGATGTTTACTATAGCTGTTTAATGCATAATTTCCTTTAGAAAGGAGTCATGTCTTGGGGTGTTCCATTTTTAAATTGGATTTTGATAATGGATTTTAAAGCGCTTTAATGTATCTCCTACCGTGAGCGAATGCGTCGATGGAAGAAGCGGATATCTAAACACGAAACAATGTACTGTCAACAAAATTGTAACGACAAATAGTTCCTTTGATTTCTGGTATACGTCTGCCACTCTCGTTTTAAAATAATTTGCAAGTTATTTATTTACGAAAAAGGCATCTCTGAGGGCGGTAAACTTTGAGAATTTGCATCAAAAGCTGGTAATAACAGCACAAAAGAGACAATGAAAGCTTAGACGCAATAGATAGATGCTGAAGGTTACTTATTAATCATAAAAACGTCGAACTTGTTGATGACTTGTGCGTTAAAACAAGTTTCTTTTATTTAACAGAGGTTTAATTACCTCTATCCGAAAGAGTGTCATTTTGTCACCTGTTTTCAGTCTTTTCTCTAGGGATTATTGAAAACTCTCCTTTTCTCCCGTCAATTTCGGGAATGGGCACTCTTCTAGGGAAATGTGTTTTAAGTATTCATTGTATTGTAAGACTGATTCTGACATGGTATAGTGATGTTTAAACAATAAGTGCCCCTCATGAATGGACATCTTTCTTTTGCTTTTCCCTTTCCAGTCGGAGACTCCAATCTCATACATTTTGACTCGTTGTTCTTAACATAGTCAAGCCCATTCACGGCGCATACCGTAAAATGTACTTTTTGAGTAATCTTATTAAAACTTACCGAAAAATTTCGATTTACAACATGCAAGGTTTTTCTTTACCGTACTATATCTATAACTGTATTTTTATGCGCAGATGATTGTAGGATTATATTTAATCCTTTCACTGTCAAGACCTAATTAGTAATTCTCCTTACTATCTGCCATACAATTCTTATGATGTTAGTTCAGAGAATTTTGTATTGGATCAACTAATAATCCCATAATTGATACTCTTCTCTATTCTCATCACCTGGCTGCTTGGTATTGTATTGATATTGTAAGGAGAAATTCTGTCTTGGTCACTTGTGCAAGTGAAAGGGTTAAGAGTTCATACGAAGCACTTGTCGGATAATTTGATACACACTGGCGGAAAAAATACGAAATGATAAAAAGTCAGGACTTCTTTTTATACATTATTGGTATTATTTTTTACGATACTTTATTGTTTTGCGGGTTAATTTGATAAGACCGGAGTCACGTCCGAGACGATCATAGATAACATTTTTGGTGTTCGTAAGAAGCACTCCCAGAATAATCTGATTGGCACTTGCTTAAGATAGATATAAATTGATGAGGGTCAGGGTTTTTTGCCTTATTGTTTTGCCGGTAAATATGATAAACCGGATTTACATCGCAGACGATCATAGATAACATCTTAAAGATATGAAATCATTATTTTGCTTCACAATACGCAAGTTGTCTCAAAGTGTCTTTCCATTTTCCTTTTTTTATCCTGTCGGTTATTCTTATCCGTGTGCCCTCTTTGATTCCTTTTTTGTGTTTATTTTTGTACTCCTTCAATGAAAGAAAGTCAAATTGATACATTATTCAGTGGTATCTACCATCATTTCCTTCGCTTATTCATACTCTTGCCTCGTGAAAGAAGTCGTTAATTCACCTCACGTAAGCATCCTCGAATATTTCTTCTCGTTAAAAATAGTCTCTTCAACGCGCGAGCATCGAAAGCGACGCCCAGAAAGGATTTATTTTTTCCGTTGTGGTGTTGCTCCATGGTATTTTTTCACGACCCTTTAATTGCACTGTATTCAACTTTTCCGTAACACAAGAAGCGAGTTTTGTTTGCCTTTCTCTCTTCGGGGCGAAATATTCAATTTGTTACCCTAGTGTTTGCTTGGAGATCTACAGGCGCCATTTGAATGGCAAACATGTCATTAGATCTGTGGAGAAAGATTTTTCATTTTTCATTTTTTTCTTCATGGATACACCTAATTGCAGTAACGTTGTCGTAGAAAAAGTTAAAAAGAAGAATGGATAAAGCCAAACTCGAATCAATTATCATATCACATATTAAGCAAACGGCATAAGCATATAGGTTTTTTTTATAATTTTTAGAATCGCTTGAAACGTCTGATACTCTCAAAAAGTTTGAAATAATTTTTCCAGTGGAAAATCTGCGTAAATTATTTCGGCTGCTTGGCATATAGCCAAAAGGATAGTTCTTTTATGCTAATGAAAAAAAAACATACATACAATGAAGTCCTATTTGGCTTTTTCTCATTTTGTTTTTGCCTTTTCCTATGACAACGTTAATTGCAATTAGGCCTGCATTGTTCGGTTTCATCACCTCTTCGAAGTTTCTGCTTTTTTATTTGCAAAGATGTTGTACTTTGTGTGGGTGTAGGGTCGTTGTTTGTCTTTTAGCAGTCGGCCCTCTTTCTGCACGAGCAGTGCATTCAAAACACAGAACATTATTCAGGTTGTAATATCCGTGTAGATTAGCGTACTGGATGCAGCAGGGTGTCACATTTGTTCTCCACATGTTAAGCGCTACATGTGGGTCGTGTGATATTCAAGAACATCTTTATTGAGTCCTAGCAGTGACAATCTGGTGTAATTCTTAGATGTGCGACAAGGATTAATAACAGCGAGTGTTTTTCGAGTTTCTCCGGATTGTGTCGCCTGCCTTTAACCAGACAAATCCGTCTGGTGTTGCCATAGTTCCGTAAAAACTACATCAACAATCTGGGCGCTCAACACTCGATATCAATCGTGAAGCGAAAATGTACTGAAAACAAAATCAAAACACAATTTAAACGTGAAAATGTCTTCCCGAAAAATCAATATTCGAACGACAACTGTCCCACTTCCCTCTTTCACTTCTTCAGTTAACTTAGCGAACCAAAAATTACCATGTGGTATGCTTTTCCAAATGCACTGCTACTGAATGAACTCGGGCATATTTTTACCACTCGCATATTTTCCTGCTGAACTACCGCCCTGATTTTAAGAATGTGCGTGAACCGTCGCTAAGATAAAAGACGAGTGCAAAACAAAAAAAAAACATTTTATAGATCTTAAAGATATAGAAAAATAATTGTTAAAAGCAGGCTTTGAAATTTGCATTGTAGGGCGATACACTCTGTCGTAACATTTGTTTGAGTTAGTGTGTTGTTTTTCGTGCGTTTGTGGGACATATTTTCGTTTATTTCTGAGTGCAAACACCCACGCCGATTGCGCAAGAGTTTGCTTCTTGTTAGTCAAGCTTTTTCATATGTTTTTTATTAACGTTGTTATACGCTCCGTGGCGCATGTTCTGTGCCGATGAACTCAGTGCAGCTGTTGTGGCTAAAATTGTGTCCCTTGGTGCCAATTGAGGTTTCGGAAAAGCGGTTCAAGAGAAACTTAAGAGATAACCAGTTAAATTTTTTATCGAAAAGAAGAGTTTATACCCTTAAGAGGAGACAGCTGGAACCGCGCAGGAAATTTCTGTTTTTCTGGGAGGTATACAAATGGCCCCTCGACGCATGTTTGTTCAATGTAGATTCGACACTTCACGCTGTAATGCATTTAGGAATGTGGATGAATTCCGGGCGCAGTTAAAAAAAAATAACATTTCCTCATTAAGAGGTTGTTTGCCGCTTAAGATATTTGATAAGAACTTTTTCCTCAAGGGCCATTTTATTTTTTAATTGCATTTTTTTTTTGTCTTGTGTTAAATAAATTGGTTTTACCATTATCGGGTGTTTTTTGTTGTAATAATCTTCTTAGACCAAACATTTTAAAGTCGACCGAAGAGAGCTCTTACCTTGTTATCGAAGGCCAAGTTTGAGAGACATTGGCTTAAAATAGTCTAAAACAGAAAAAACAATTGCATAATTATGTAAAGAGTCACGTATGGATTATCTATGCAGTAGTTCATATCCCTTGATTTAAAAAATACAAACGGAGTCAGTCTTATAAAAAATAGATCAGGTGTATCGATGTGTCTGCGATTTATGCAGACTTCCTTTCAATCGCAGAGTGATGTATATTTTATCACTGTTGTGTGTATTTTCTTTGTCTTCCGCCTTGAACCACATTCGACGTTACAGCAAAATAATGGAAACCGCACCTTTTGGGGTAAGAGAAGGTTACGAAAATTTAAGTAATCTGTTCATTTTTGATTAGTGCTGGCACTAAACGGGAAATCTGTGAAGCAAAAGTTCATATTTGCAAAATCACGGCCGTGCAGCGAGCTTTAAAAGGGGAATTGAACATTTAGAAAAGTTTAGATGACATTGAAAGAAGTTTGCCTGACTTAAATTTTAATCTCCTCCATTTTTTCCCTCTATCTCCCTTACAAGCGTTTCTGTTTTTCCTTTGGATTATCTTACCAGTCTTAAGTCGCAGCTGTAATCGCCTCAAAGAAGTAAAGTATTCAACCAGTTTGCTAACGCCAAAATGTCCTAAAATGCATTGCTTAGCCTCAGTTACCAGTGAGTTCAATTCTTTGTTAATTTGACTGAAGAAACGAAAAAACAGATTATGAATTAGACGGATTATATCTTCCCTTCCCATAATTTTTGCCTTATTTCCCTTAATGTTCCTTCTGTGATAAGCTTGCCCTTCTACCATCATTCAATCGAACTTCCACTGAAGAGAGCCATTTTGTTATGATTCTACCGCGAAGCCGTCCTCATTGGAACTGTTTTACTGTGCAGATTCTTGCAATACAAGTTTTTCATGAAAAACTATCGTCACCACATCTGTTGTTTATCAATTCCTGTTGCATCATTATCACAGTAGTATAGCTGGTAGCGTTAACATCTTATGCGCATATCGCTTGTGGTGCAATTTGAGTACCTAATAGTGTTTCGCCGTCTTAGATTTTAACAGCAAGCCAAAAACTGTTGGCTTATGTTGCGTAGACTCGATGTTGATAACCTTTTTCTTGGCATCTTGTCGGGTTTAAATTAATAAAGAGTGCGGCAAAATATCGTGCTGGTTCACTGATAACTCTTGACCTCTTCTTCCCACCACATTGGGATCGATGTAAGAAGTCTACAAGCTGTCTGAACCTCAGCCCCTCCACCCCCGGAGTAATTGACATGTTCCTTTTCCTTACGATACCAATACGTTATCCAGTAGAAATTATAGGGTAGACAAATGTTTAATACTGACAACATTTCAAATGAGGCCTTAAACTACTGTACAATTGTTGCTAAAATCTTGCGCCGATCCACGGCATCATCAGTGATAAGAATATTATTACGCGTAGGGCCTCAACACAAATTAAGAGTAAAACGTGTGAAAATCGAAAGACTGCTGGGAGTAACATGTATAAGATAAATTATAAGGTACAGATATGAATATCAAACGAATAAATGATTTAATGAGCGAGTGTCAATGTACCAAGAGTCTCGCTAGATCTGCTGAAATAGTCTGAAGAACAGAAGGTTCGCGAATGTGTAAACAGTATAAAATGTGAAAACTGTGGAAACAGTCTTTCTTTTTCCGTCAGCTATTCAACAAAGTTCAACGTGGACAGATGAGACACAGACTCTCGCGCATTTGCTGTATACCCTGTTTTAAAGTAGCCATTCTTGGGTTTGCATGATTCTTCGTTAAATGATTAATAATACGTTTGCGATCGTAACCATGGTTACCTTGCAGATCCAACCCAAGCTTTTCACCCAATGATGGGACATCCTCCCGGCATGCCGTGGGACGCTGGCATGGGTCGCGGGTTTCCCCCTGGATTCCGCGAGGGATTCCCGGGTGCCATGGGCAGGCAAGGCAGCGAGAGTCCGGGAGACGACGATAGCGAGTTTGGCAGTAGTGATGAAGATAGGAAACGCGATCGTGATTCACATAGACGTCGAGACAGAGATAGGGACAGAAGCCGTGAACACAGAGAAAGGTGATGCAGGTTTAAAAAAAGTATAAATATCTATGTTTAGCGAGGAAAAGAGAGTCCTGTGGGATTTCATCGCGAGCGTATAGACCAGAATTAAGGGAATCGTTCTGTGGGTAAAGCGAGACCGTTCACCGACTGGACATGCTTTTCACTTGACCACTTGTACCTTTTCAGAAATCGTGACCGAGATCGTTCTCCACGTAAAGAGCGTGATCGTGATCGTGACCGAGATAGGCGTGATCGAGAAAGAAGACACCGTGACCGTGACAAAGGAGACAGAGAAAGACGTGAGGTAAGGCTGTTTCTTCATATTTCATATTTTATAGTAGTTTTTGATTCCTTACAGACGACAACCCTTCTGCCGGCTGACAAGCCTAGAAAAGGCTTGAAACTCGCTCAGCAAACTTAAAGATAGACGCTAATTTTGGAACAGCGACAACCCTAAACAGGCTCGTGGAAAGTCAGAAGCTTAGTTTCATTGACTTCTGACAATTAGTTAAGTTTTCATAAGCGTCAACTTACAACATAGCTTAATCACGCGGGTATTCTTTTCGAAAAGCAGACTTTCAGACCTGGAGAGACAGTTCTACGCAGTACAGATATTCACATTTTCTTTACTTTGGACTTGTAGACCTTATGCTATGTTTTATTTTGTTGCAGGAACGTTCATCGCGAAAAGATAAAGACAGAGAAAAGTCAAAAGAACAACGAGAAAAGTAAGTCTTTTGGTCGCTCAATCTCTCGCGATCCTACGACAACTGCGATTAAAAAGGCATTTGATGTTCTTATGGTCCTTTTTAGTTGAAATTCACCTTGCTGATCAAATAAACGTCACCGTTAGAGTTCACAAAACCTTGATTTGCTTGAAGAGGTACATTCCCGTCTTCACCCTTTAGCTCCCGGGAGTGACCAGGACAGAATGTCTCCTTACAATTTCAATACAAAATCAAGGTGACACGTGATGAGGATAAAGAAAAATATAAATTCGAGGAATATTACTTGATCTAATACCGATCTGAACCAACATCGTACTGAGAATTTACAGCAGACATTACGGAGAGTTACTGAGGAGATTTTGGGAGTGAAAGGGTTAACTCGCACTTTTCCCACGCCTGGGAAAATTGCGTGGTAAATTCCTCTTTAGTTGTTGAGTATAGTCATTGTAATGGGTTAATTTTTGTTGTTGTTGTTGTTGTTGTTGTTGTTTTCTTTCAATGAAAGCACTCAAGGTCCTCCATCCCACCTGAAAGAAAGGAATTGTAGATATTCAACCTTTGGGTAAATTAATTCTTTTTTACCACAGAAAAAGACATAGTAAAACGACAGGGTCTGAAACTTCCGGCGGCCCGGAAGAGGGAGAACTGGTGTCGAGCAAGAAGAAGAGTAGAAGAACCCGGGAGGCGAAAGAAACTAAGAGCGAAAATTCTGAGCCGCGAGAAGAAGGTCAGCGGACACCAACACCATGATCACGCTCAGATCGTATGGTGCGTTGTGTAGCCTGAGGAACGAACGTTACAGTTGCTTGCAAGTCGTCTCTGTACAAAATGTTACTTGTACAAGGTATCAAGACTGGGTCTTGCAGCAGCGATTTTCCAAGTTTACACGATAACTTACATGTTCTCTTTAGTGCGCAAACAACTGTTCATCATGCTTTTCATCAATGGAGGGTTTCCAAAAGCATCTTTTCAATTTATAGTTTTGATAGCCCAAATGACATCGTAAACTGAAAACCAAGTCGTCAAAGCAAAGATTTCAAATCCTTTCCTGGGCGACGCCATGATGCTTAGACCTCACGTTTTCTGCACAACGTATCTTTTTTAATACCAAATGGGTGTCACTTCTACCTTGAATCCAAGCGGGTTTCGTTGTTAGAAAATATTCTGGGAGATATTTTGGCCTTATTAATGTAAGATGCTGTGTCTTTACTCTTAAAACTCTCCTTGCGCAAGAATATAAAGAATCGAGCATTCGAAGGATATCTTAGTCAGACCACCTTGTAATTTTAACCATTTGTAAATAATCGTTCTTCAAACTACAATTGAGCGTTTGTTTTGTCATTTCGTCGACCCGTGTCGTGGATGGATCACTGTAAACTGAAAATGTTGCTTTATATCTTCTATAGCACCTTATTCTACAAATATCGAGTTTAAAAGGAAAAAAACAGCAAAAAAATGTAAAGAAAAAATAAAAGACCGAAGTTCTTATAATTCTGTCTTATTTTACAAGCTTGTTTCTTTATATTTCTTTGATTATTTTCTGTGGGTTTATTCCCCACTTGGAATGACTGGTCTACACATGCCAGCAGGTAAGTGCACCGAACTAGGGTGGGGTGGTCTGTGTTCAATTCTTACTTGGGTCTTCGTATTGCGTCCTTTGGCAAGACGCGTCACTTTCACAGTAACTCCTCAGTCAGAACTGTATATAACATAGGCATTCAAAACATGCTAGAGTTATTGGATGGGTGGTTGAGGTTTTCGTGAAAGGCTACTTACATACCGCAATTTTTACAGCATTAAACAGAAAACGAGGTTGTGTAATGAAGCTAGAAGACCTTCAACCAATCATCTTAACGGTAATAAATAATATTAATATCAATAGTAATAGTAAAAATGATGGTAACAGTAATAGTAGTAACAATGACGATGATATAGCCACAAAATACGCATAATACGTAAAAATAAAATACTTTAAGTTTAATTTTCTTAATTATTCCACAAGGAAAAGTTTTGCTTTTTATCTTTTATATCTTGTATCATTTCGTGAAGTTTAGGTTGTTTACTGGAAAATATTATTTAATGAGGCAAAGACTTCTTAACAATGACAAAAAACTACGTACTTGTACCAGGAAAATACTGTTTAAACACAAGATATGAATCAAGGAAATTTCTAAAAGTAAAGAAACAGATATACTACATGACAGTCGAAACAGAATACAAATATGTAGCTTGCTGATGTTTTCAACCTTTGCCGATAGAGCAACTTCATTTAAAACGAGATCATTGATCAAATATACTCAGTGCAAATAGTTTGCTCAATTTTTTCGAGGGTCAGCAAACCTAGGGAACTAAACCCCGAAGAAATGCTCTAGTGACAATTTCGTGTTGGGCTTTTTGCTGACGGAGTGCGCGTTTTAAGTGAACGAGCGGCACAAAAAACATGTCTTGACTTCTAAATGAAAGGAAAATTCCCTGCTAACCTCGACACTGCATGTTTCAGACCACTTTGGTATAAAAAATTTATTTCGCCTCTAGAATGTGACGAAAGTCGTGTCAATATCTTGAAATAATAATTTTACAACAATTTTATACTAATAGTTTTTCTCATCAAAACTCCTGAAAAGAACAGGAAGTAAGTGTTGGGTTTTTCATTGTTAACTCCTAGATTCCAAATAGCACTTGATTTATATTAACCTTAGACCGACGATAGCTTTTATGTCTTCATTTAAGGCTCATGCTGTCAGTACAATTCAGTTGCCTTTTTCGTTAAGGGACTCGTACACATTTTGCATATCAGACCCCCTTAGGGGCTCATACGCAGATTCTGTTTGAGACCCAAGGCTGTGCACTGAAGCATATGGTATGCCACCCTTCAGGGTCTGTACATTTTGATAATCTGGTTCTGTAAATGATGTCTGCCCATTTTGGTAAACCAGAGCTGCAACTGGTGTGTTCTTGTCCATACTTTGGTACAGAGAACAGTAACCATAGTAATCTCCAGGGGGACTGTGCACAGCTCCACCACTACTTTGTCCTGAAGTGGATGTGGAAAAAATAACTAAATGTAAAAGTTTTCCTGGAAAAAATGATCATGGCAATTCAATGACTGTCTCTTGGTAAGTTTTAAAGTTGGTACTTATCTGGTATACTGAAGCTATACAGAATGTCCTTTTTTTCTGCCATTATTCAAGGCATTCTGCATTAAGACATTAAGTTTTGCCTCTTTTAATTGCTCACAACGTTTCTGGAGGAGTTGAAGTTCGAAAATTCTCCGTATATATTTCATGTTTCTTCCAGAAATATTTAATTATATATGTTAAAAGGTAGATTTCATATCGTGCTTCTGTTCAGTAGTAGATCACAGACGACAAAAATTTGTTAAAACCACCAAGCATTTCACCATAAAAGGAAGACGCACAGTACATCTGTTTACCATCTTGAGGTTGAGAGTAAAGTTTGGTGTATAAATTGTCTTAAGGCAAGTATAAATGGTAGTTTTCGGTTTCCAGTTAAAAGTAAATTTTTCCAATTAATGGTCTGAGAATTGAGAAGATACAACAGGTTACTGTAATGTTGGACGAACTACATGAAGTGTCTCACTTTACCAATGGCTTCTCTCTAAAATGCTACCTCGCAATGTACGCAGACACTTACCTGATGAAGTATGAAGAAACAATCACATTTTGATGATGTAGATTTAACTTTTTTGGTGTGCCAACGTAAACACAATGATAGGTATCTGAGATTGACCACGACTCGCGTGAATGATAACATCACTGACTGTTTTCTCCTACCAAGAGTTCATCGCTCAAGCTCAAAGGACTTGTGTTCACGCTAAAAGAGCGATCCCTTCCCAAATAACAGGTGTTCTGTAATCTCGTTGTGATTACTAAATGTGTGTGAGTGAACACCACCCAAAAACAATGAGTAACAGTTATTCCTTACTAACTTACCAGTATTGGTAACAAGACTTTGGTACGTTGATTGACCGGCTTGTTCACTGAAGGTTGAGACATCTTCCATTTCTCTGTCCTTTTGATTCTCAACCACTGGGTTCCTAACTAGGATAAAAATTCATTTTAAAAAATCAATTAAAACAGTTATTTCATTCATCAAAATCTATTTCGATCTTATGATAGTTTTAGAGGACACTCATTTTGGGTTCTAGGGTCTTAATATTGTGAAACTAAGTTACCGATCATCTTTAACATGATCCTTTTTATAGTTAATAACAGTAGTAACAAGGTGCAATCTTTGGCCGACCTGAGTGTAAAAACAGCAATAGCAACCTTTTTAGTAGTGCATTTGAAATCCATATTGATGCCACACACTCACATATGTTAAACTCTCCAATCAATCCTTAGAACCTGTGGCACTTTTGCTAAGCCTTGCCTTTGTTGTAACAATTCAATTTTTACCTTTTAAAACTCCATATTTGCTTTGCCATACCTGTCTATCTAATCTTGTTATAACATTCAATCAACACATTTCTGTCCAAGTATTCAATATGATATTCTCTCAACATCCATGCATCCCTATATGCTTCTTGTGGATTTTAACTGCAAGTTCGGCTTTTAAACATAGGCATTGATTGCTTAATGGCTCGATGATGTACCTTTCCAGTCCCTTAAGTCTGTTACGTGTGTATCTTGCAGTTTGAGGCTCATTCGTAGTTAACTTTTGCAATCAATTGCTGATGAAAACAAAATTTACCTGCTGACTTTGTTTCTTGCTGGTTGTTTTCCCTGTGTGAGGAATTTTAGTTTCTATGATATAAGATGAATTATACACACATTTTTCGTTCTGACCATATCTTGACGTCATCTGTGATCTAACTAATCTGATGAACGACATCATGGAATCTACTGATTTGCTGAACAGATTATACTCAGAAAACACAGTTTACTTGTAAGACCAAAGTTTTTATTTCTGTTTTTTGTAATGGTACTTTACAAACAGCGAGTGAGTGAAAAGCAAATTTATATTAGAACTGAATTTGAAACTGGCGACACACATGTATTCAAAGAGAAAATGAGTCAAGACTTGAAAAAAATATATTGAACTTACAATTTCCTTCGCTTGCAAAATACAACAAGGACGATGATTAAGATTCCAAACACAAGTGCACATCCCACTGCAACGCCAATCACGACAACAGATCCACTGTAATTCCCATTTTTTCCTGCGTAATTTTTGCCTGTGTCGTTGATAGATTCTGTCACTGAAGTTGTCTGCAAGAAATTATAATGATAATCAATGAGTTCAAGCCTCATCAATATGATATTTATTTTTATTAAAACCAACAGTTATAAGCACTGCTGCTTTTGAAATACAGACACAACTTCGCGAGAAAGACGCTCCAAATATGAACTTCGAAGCTAAGGGGAGCACTTACAAATGGCGATGGAGAAAACACTGACCCCCAATCCAATGGACTACCCTAAAACAGACCAAGCCATTAAGTCTTTTGTTGTCACGACGGAATTTAGGCGATTATAAAACATTCAAAGTCCTTTTTTCTTTGAAAAATAGCGCGAAGTCGCGTTACTTCCCTCAATATCGGTCACGAAGTAATGCGGAAAATCGATAATATCTATTGTTTCATGCTTCGGTATAGAGATTGCCCTAGATAAATGCAATCGGCACATCTGAGATTTCTAGATTCAACAATTTACAGGTATTTTACCTTTCTCAAGATTAACCAAAAATCCTAAAAACAACGACAACTAGGAATCAACCCAATCTTTTAATAGCCTTATCTTGCCTATAACTTTAACCCACAAAAATAATTAACCTCTTCCAAAAAAGGAACAAGTTTAAACCTGCCATCATCACTGTCTATTGACAATGAGAGGCTATTTGGCACACACCTTGGTGATTGGAGAAATATGTGGTGTTGTCTTTGCCACAAAACCTGGCTTCGTCAGTGACTTGTCATTCAAATCATCAGTAACGTCTGAAAAACCAGTATGCAGTACACATTTGCCAATGATGGCTCACAAATATCGAAGTTTTCATACCATTTTTTGCATACCTGCTCAATTGATTCGTGCTTTGAATGACTGGCCCACACAGAGGAGATTATCCCCATTTCTCTAAGCTAACATCGCCACTTCCCTTTACGAGTGAGATACTCCTGTCCCTTGAATCTAATCTATCCTCCCTTGGAAAAGTGTTGTTTGACTACCTGCTGAGGTTTTTGTATTCGAGACTACTACCACAAAATAGCTAAACCTTTGTATTGTTCAATCCCCTGCACAACTATTCGTTGGGAGTCTAAGATTATCACCCCTTGAAACAATCACCACTCCAAAACACTGAGAACTTTGAAGATGCACTTAGTAACCATGTCACCCGGTTTTACTCCGTGCACCAGGCACCAAATAATAGCCAGCAGGAAACAAGTGAATGCCTAACGGACACAGGCGTCTATTCTGTCAGCGTTTCCCGCTGTTTTTCTTTCTTCTTCTTGATTCTTTTTTTTTTAAATTTTTTCAGTTTTAATCAATCTTTTGAGGCATGTATAAAAAAAAAAGTTAAGCTTTGAAACTATTCCATATCACAACAGGAATTTTACCGCTTTGTATTATCGAAGTTGACCTATAATGTTTCAGAAACAAATAGTTAGTTAGTAAAAAGGCTGGCTGGTTGTAACTCTAAAAAGCACTGTTTATACTTTTGTGAGGTTACTGAGGCTAAAAATTATTTAAATTTAAAGGAAACTATAACTCACAAGTGATCTGCCCTGAGGACTTGAAAATCAGGCAAGCAGTCTTGGGTGGTCGAGATGCAGATGCTGAATAACTGCAATTGATCACTACCCGAACGATTCTGCCTGAAAGGTTCTTGTCAGTACCATTATTCACCCACTTCAGAATTTAAAGAAAAATGAGCAAGAAACAAAATTGATTAACACAAGCTGTGAAAATAACACCAGAAGTCGAAGGTTATGCCAAAAATTGAATATTCACCAGTTGATCCAAGAAAACATTGTTCCAATGCTTTTCTTAGAAAAAAAAATCCAATCCAGCAATTAAGAACCATTTTTAGCTTCGCAAAGATCGCAGACATATTCCAATTCTTTAAAGACTTCCAAGAGATTATAATATATTCTCGGGAGACCTCATGCACATTAACTCAGTTTCAAAATTGACGTATTGGCCCATAGGGTCTGATGCAAATTTGAACCCTTCAGCAGTTTTTTACATGTGAATATGAAAGGTGGGCTAAGAGCTATCAGGTTAGGGTCAGGTTGGATTGGAGGCTGCTGGTAATAAATAAATATTTCTGAGCTCCTGACCTGCATGCTTTTATCCCTCTAAAAAACATGGATACAAAACCTTGAAAACTAGTTTTCCTTGTACTCTTTCCACTTTAAAGATTTCTGGATATACCCGCGCCCACTTGTTTTCCAGTTGATAATCAAGATATGCTGTTCTCCCGGGAACAACTTGACAGGCTTGATAGTTGACATCTGACCCAATTTCCACCCCTCCTTCATTTGACAGGTCAAGAGATTTCAGGAAAAAGGGCCACTCGAAGAAACGGGAGCAAACTGCCAAAAATGCAACCCAAAATAATTTGATCAATCACTTTGCGGAAAAAGTAGCTCTTACTTCAAAATCACCATTAGAGTTTGTGTTAGGTTCTGAGGGGGCAGTGTCGAATTGAGTTGTCCACTTCTGGAAATGTCTAATCAAGAAAACTACTTCCATTGTAATTTATTGACCGGTGTTTTTGTTCTTCTGTAACCTGTTTGTTCTATATTGTTGTATAACAATCTAATTGAATATCGTCAAAGAAGTGAGTATACAGAGCTTTAATTCCAGTTTTTTAGCTCGCACTCCATATATATTGATCGTTCGTCCAGTTTCTCAATAGAAGTATGTATTACTTTTTTTTTTAGCTCGAATAGTCTTGCGATAAATAGATCATTGGATTGACGTAGCCCTGCTGGATTCAGCGTCTGCTTATGGAAAAATAGAGCAATTTAAACCTCTCACCTACATTCACTAATTTTCCATGTATGGTTCATTAATAGTTAAAGAAAGCATCCAATGAAATTACTCACCAGTATTGTCACTGCACCCGTATACTTCAAATCTGAGACACCTATGCCCTGGTGTGTTATAGTCTTTAGGATATATTCTGAGGAATCTTGTTTCAAATGTCCCCCTGAAGTAGATGTATTTTACAGTGTCTGTGTCACTATTTCCAATAAATTTCTGAAAGTGAACATTTGTTTGAAAATTTAAGAGCCTGAATGTCTTGATATCCTCACGATATCATCTTTAAGTGAAAAATAATAAGAAAGACAGTTCAGTTAATGTTTGTAAACAAAGAGTCAACTTCCGTCCCGTGAAGAACATTAAAACTAATAATTTGAACCTTGCATTGACTTGTCTGTTTCTCATTTTTTCTATTGGATAACGATATCACGCAGATGTGAAAGTATAATCCAGTTTTAATATTGTCGTTATAACTTTCAAGAAAATAGTTATCAACAGCAGTCCCCGCAGTACAGGAAATTTGCAATATATCGAAACGACAAAAACCAAAGAGGAGAAGATGATAATAATTGTAATTTTCGAAAATTTCAAATTAATATACAAGGAAATCCATCATGGCAATCATTACTGCGAGGATCACTTTCATATTCATGGCAAATTGTGTTTGTCAATTTTGAAGGTTGTCTAAAGTAAATGAAATATTTTGTAAGCCCTTAAAACAGGATGACGTTTTTAGACACCCTTTACGAGGCAAAGGCATTAATGATTATCTCGTCATGTACTGCTTATGCAAGAATGGATATTAACATGTTAAATATGTATTACCTTTTTGCGACCATTTTCATCTTGGTAGTCAGACCATGTTACACCATCATAACTGTACGCCATCTCATATGTTTTGACATAGTTACTAGACACACCTCGGTATCCTTGAGTTGCAAGGGCTGAGACATGCCTGACCTCCAATAAGTCGATCTCAAAAAATTGCTGACTCCTTCTGGAGCACCAGGCCTTATCATTATTCAGTCTTCCCTCCGAAGGAACAAAACCTGCAAAACTATCTGACCCACGTAGTTGGGAACTACTGATTTTCCTACTTTCCAAACCAAGCGCTTCTGAGCAATCTACAAAGTAACCAGAGGTTTAAATTAACTCAGTATAATCAAGACTTTGCAATTTCAGTAATCTTTAATTAATAAGGTAAGCATGTTGGCAGAGAGAATCTTTAAGTTGGCCTCCCACGCAGTCGTGACGGTAACACCCAAGAGAAGTACTATTTCAAAAAACGAGTGCTAGGGTTAGGGTTAGGCCACAGGTACGAGGTTGATAATTTTTTTTCCCTTGATCGTTTCATTTCCCCCATTTTTTCATTTATGAAATATGTTCATCTATGAACAAACGTTGTTCTCAGTAAAATGGTAAGTTCTGAATCGAGGCAACACAGGAGACATTAGGTTACTAGGTTGGGGTAAAATTTTCCACTCTTCAAGGCGGCCTGAAGCGACCTTAGAACGTTAGGATCATATGTTGTTAAACCAAATATTTGCCCTATGTTTTTTTAAATAAATGTTAAGAAGAAGAAGAAAAGATTATTTTATTGATATTAAGAGATTTTGAGAAATCTTTACGATAGGACTCGACTTGAATTCAAAAGATCACCCTCGATCCGCCATATTGGGCGCAATCAAGTGCACTTTCCCGTTTCTTTTTTTTGCCAAGCAAAAATAACTGGGACTTTTTTATATCCATTTCGTGATTTGGACCCTAGAACAAGACCTCATGCTAAAATTCAGCCAAACTGATGCAATGATGTGGCCGGTGAAAGTTTAAAAGTTACCGATTTAACAATGCCTCCGCATTTCAATTGTTAGCGTATCAAGAAAAGCGCAGATCAACTTTGATTACAATAAGCTTTGTTAAATCAATAAAAATGACCATATATGGTCACTTTGGGACAATGGCGGAAACAGCTATAAAATACACTTGGAATTTTTCAAAATTTCCGTTCATCATACGAGCGGTAAAATAAATTTAACCCATCGGCAAAACTAACGGAAAGACAAATCCTCCCCGTGGGGGGTGACACTGGTAGAATTTTTTTTTTTTTCAGAATGCAAATAGTCACGTTGGGGTGGATGGTGGGGCGACTGTCGCTTTCATAACTGAAGTAAAGAGATGCCACTGTTTTTTCCTTTATATTGCTTAATTGCTCCTCCAAGATCACGGCCTGGAAACGAACATTCACGTTGCAGAAACACTCTTAATGACGAATATAAGAATTAATTGAACGCACTTCAATAATCTATGATTATCACTAGTTTATTCTTCTAGCCCCGGTTGTTCGAAGGATAAATCTGCCTTCCAGTGTTTAGCGCAGTATGTTTTGTTACACGTATCCATTGGATAGCGCTATCTGCCCTTTGAACACTTAAACACTCGCTTTCTTCATTCATTTCTTCAAATCATTTTTACTTACTTCCAAACAGAGATGTTTTTATACTTGCTGTATCACCACAACTTCCTATTAGTGGGAGGAAGGTAGCAGTGTCGGCCTTACATGAACAGGTGCACTGTGCGGTGTTGTTCGCCCAAGCAGAGGAGTTTTCACAAACGTCTTGTGGGCACTTGAAGCCAGTTTTGTAAATAACCTTGAATACGTCGTTGTCGGTCCTCTCGCTCCTGGTAATAATATACTTTTCAACGCCATCCGCACGTAAGGTACTTTGTATCGGAACAAAGTGGTGACTAGCTGGGCAAAGCATTAAAACAACGATTCTCATGAAAGAGTTCAGGGTAACCGCCGTCGTCGATGTCATGTTTCTTTACGCAAATTATGCACCACAGCTAACTCTTCGATTATATTGAAATTGATATACGTATAAACTGAGCGTGATTTCGAAAGCAAGAATAAGCTCCAACCTCTGCTTGAGAGGTCGGAAGATTTAGATTTATAAACCGTTGCAACTTCCTGTCCAAACATCCTATGACGTCAAAGAGGGGTTACTCCCGAGAGAGATAAAAATTGTTTGTCAAAATTTTACGCTTCGAATAATTCTGAGAAATTTCAGGCCAGCTTGTAGAAAAAGGGAGATTAAATAGGGGTTTATAGAAACAGAAAAGCTCCTTTTGACGTAAGAACGATCGACAACGTGCAGTACGAACAGATAAAGAATTTGGAGTTGAATACGCAACCAGGATGCGTGTGGATTTATTTTCTGTTTGTTGTACATTGAAGCTGTGTTTTCATTTATTTTAGGATTTTAATCCGTAGGAATGCGATGAGCTCGTGGCCAAAAGTCTTTCAGTGTTGTATCTGCTCGACTGCTGTCGTGCCTTTGCTGGAAAATTACCCGGATTTCGACGAGAACAGGATGGTTTGTTAAATTCACGGCCGGATACGTTGTTCTCCGCATGATTCATCCTATGCAGATTACGTTTGTTTATCTTGTTTTTTTAGGCCCGTGGTTGTCGCCGTTAGTACTTCCCTTCAATTCGGTTCCGCGGGGAAGTTTGATTCAAGGAAGGAAACAATATCTGTGGCGAATGTTAGCGGATTGAGTACTGCAGATGGTTCGACTGCGGTTCTGGAAGCAGTCAATCATTTTATGATGGTTGTAATGGCTTCTATGATAGGCAAGAATATTTATGGCGTGCTCCTAGATTTGTAGTAAAAAAAAAAATCCAAGAGAGAAAACGTTCGAGTAGCTGCGCATCTTACCAGCAACACGGCTCCACCCCTCCCATAGACCTGCCCTTGTATCATCCTCGCGATTCTAGAAACTTTTGAGACCATTGCATAGTAATAGTTTTTTTCTCTGACCACAAGGAGGGTAGCAAAGGGGGAATACCATTTCCTTTAAACAATAGTTACAAAGATTCTTTTATGTTTGTGCAATCTCATTACCTGTTTGCTGGATACTGTATGAATATTATAGGAGAAGTTCCATATCAATTACTTCTGGGAGTTTTAAGGGTTAACCGTGACGGGCTAACATCCTGTTCAAAAGGCTTTTTTTTAGCTGATTTTCACGACCAGCTGTGGTGCACGATTATTATTCAGAATTACCTCCTGCTATAATCAAATCAAAGTCCCCTGGGGTAGAGGGTGGGTGAGTGTTGACAGCAGAGGACTAGGGAAGGTTTGAAAAATAATTTAATTGGAGTGAACAGTTATGGTCAAGCAAACTTCTTTAAAGATACAATAATTGCGATACGGCTAGACAACTAATAATAATTCTTTCTTCTAGGCAGATCATTTAAGAGAGAAAAACTTGTGTGTAAAACTAGGGAGCCAAAACTAGGGAGTTTTTCATTGTTTTCATTAAGCATTCATTCTTGAAGGCAGAACACCATAATGGCTGATAGACTATCATAGCTGAGTACAAAAAATAAAAAAAAGAAAAACCTGTAGAATAAAAATACTACTTAATTAAGTAAACAGTAGAAAAAAGAAACAGCAACGAAATAACTTTCTCTTCAGTGAAAGTAGAAAATGCTGGAGAAAACACTTGGAGAAATATAATAAAAGTTAATTTGACTTTGTTAATGAAGCAGTGCACATTCAACCCCACCACAACCCTTTAACTCCCAAGATCTCATGAGTAATTTTTTTTACTGTTGGCCAAATAGTTCTTGTGATGTTAACTTAGAGAATTTGGTATTGGATCAACTAATATTCCCCTAATTAATATTTTTCTTTAATCTCATCACTTGTCTGCTTGATATTGTATTGATATTGTCAGGAGAAATTCTGTTTTGGTCACTCATGGGAATTAAAGGGTTAATAATGACCCTGATTTCTATGTCCTTACCTACCCCACCCCACTTCCCAGGTTTTAAAAAATTTTTCTACCTCTGTTTTATCATACGTACAAGTTGCTCCTTTATGTAAAAACACTTGGGATTTCTTTAGCTCCCTTTTAGTTTAGTTTTCGTTTCTCCGTTTGAGTGTACAAAGCAAACCCCCTTTGGGCCTCAGTGTCAAGTTCTCCTCATATTTTATCTCATCTTGTCCAGGACAGAGACTCAACTCAAACTGCTGTAGAAGTCTCGCCATAAGCACTCGGGCCTCAAACTGTGCAAAGGTTTGTCCAATACAAGTGCGTGGGCCAAATGAGAAAGGGAAGTACACAGACTGTGGAATTGCATCTTTGGTCTCGGGTGAAAATCTGTCAGGATTAAATTTATATGGGTCTTTCCATGAGTCTGGGTGGTGGTGCATTACAAAATTACTCATGTTTATTGTTGTGCCAGCAGGGAAGATGTAGCCACCAATGTCTTCATCTTTTGCGGTTGTTCGATTTGTTCCCCCAGCAGGGGGATGGAGTCGTAATCCTTCTTTCAGTGTCTGACTTAAGAACTGGAGGTTTCCAAGATCTTTATATTCAACAAACTGACGTGAACCAAGGACAGCTCTAATCTCTTGATTTACTCTGCAAATGATAAAAATAAAATTGACTATATGCTTTATTTTAAGGGGAACAATCACTAAATATTCAGATGTGTGTTTTAGATCTTTGCTACTAGAATATACTAAAACAGTGTATTGTGTTGATTGTCTACTCTACCTCCAAAAATCCTTTACTAATCACAACCTATGCCAGATTTGTGCCCAAAAAATATTGTAATTTTTGCAGGAATAAATGAATTCAACTCATCTTTTTGTGCTATATTATCTCACTGCTTAAGTATATACTGAAACAACTATTCAATCCCACTTCCATGAATAGTTGTTAAATATGCCACTTCAAATGGTTTTGTAATTTTTGCCTCTCTTTTCAAGAATGGTAACAGTAGTGAAATGCACCCTGCACTGTGTATAACAAAAGAAGTGACTTATTGTAAGTATACTTAAAAACAGGTTTTAAGGGTTAGTTTATGGTCCACACCAGCCAGTTTGCTCCATATAACTTATTTATCTTGTGTTAATTGTACCTCACGTACCTCAAAAGTACCTCTGTCAGAAAGTCTATGTAACAGATCACACACTGATGATGCAAAACTTACAGTTGTAACTTACTATTTCATACCTCTCCTCAATATCAGGATGCCTCAGTAACTCATGGAGAGTAAATGACAGCTGGTTGGATGTAGTTTCCTGACCTATCATTGAGACATTATCACTTATTAAAAAAAAATATACACACTGTCCATGAATGATTTGTACTGTTGTGCAGTTGAGTATCAATGTAGGTCTATACATTTCTAAGAGGATCTATTCTATTACTTGCAGAGCTATGTGGCCATGGGAGCTTTCCTGAAAGTGCTTCCAGAATGTGGAAAGTTTTATGTGATGCTACCAGTAAACACAAACAGCCAATAGGAATTTCTGCATTTTCAAATTTTGTTTATGTCTTAATATTCTCTAAAAAGTAAAACCTTGATACGAACCCAAGTGGCCCATGAGGCCGGTGCTTAACTTCGGTTTTCTTAGCATGAAGCGGCTAGGAGTATTGCTACTCCCCCTACTACTGGATGGGATGCTAGTCCATCGCAGGGTTACCCCCAGCATATTTTGCTGGTACCCATTTTTACACCTGGGTGAAGAGAAGCACTGTGAGAGTGAAGTGTCTTGCCTAAGAATACAACACAATGACCCCGGCCAGGGCTCGAACCCGGACCACCCGATCTAGAGTCAAATGCACTAACCATGAGGCCATTGCACTTCAACTTAATATTCTCTAATTACAGTTTATTATCTTTAAGGCAAGGAAAATGTGGTGGACTGATGGTTAGTGCGCTGGACTGTGGGTCAGGTTGAGTTCTTGGGCAAAATACTTCACTCTTTCAATACCTCTCTCCACCCAGGAGTATAAATGGGTAACAGCAAATTGTTAGGGAAGCCTGATGAAATGCTGAAGTAACCTTGCCATGGATTACCATCCCATCCAGGGGGGAGAAGTCATGCTCCTAGTTGCATCATTCAAGGGAAACTGGGATAAGCTCCAATCAGATGGACTTCTTGACTCAAGTACAGAATTTAACTTGTTATGTTTAAGATGCGCTCTTCATTCCCGTTGGATCCACATAATTTTTCTAGTTACACCCTTTAATCCCTAGGAATGTGTAGCATTTAAATCATTGGACAGTATCCCCACTGAATCAAATGTTTAGGTCTTAGGACTTTAGGAGATGGTCATTAATTTAAAGACCTCTTGCTAATTCTCTTAGTTACAACCATATGAAATGTAAAAAAAACATTTGAAGGAATATGCAAACTTATAAGGTGTACCAGTGGATAATTAAGGCAGCTATTCACCCACCTGCCACAAAAAATGTGAAAAACTCATCAATCATATCTTCAATTGTAATACTTGGTTCTTTTGCTTTGACACTCAAGATATGTGCAAGGATATCAGGTGGTGTATCTTCTCCTCGTAAAATAGCTTCTTGACGTTCAAGAATGACCTTCCTTCCAAAATCACGGATGAATTTGCCTGCTTTGATCACACTCCTTTGATAAGGAAATGTTGTTACAGATATCCTCCAAAATGGCATCCGAAAACAATCTTGCATCCCTTTGAGAGATTTTGAAATAGATGATGGGAATGGACTGTTGGCATCTTTGACTGCATCAAGATCCACATTGAATGCAACCTGATTTTGATTTTAGAGAAAATGTTTGTTAGGCCTTAGATATATTATGAGCACAATCTTTTGGAAATTGTATTGCCTTAGAAAAATGCCCAATGAAGCTCAAGAATTTGGAGCAACCTCAAGGGATGAATGATTTACTGATTTATAACTAGGTACCTGTGGTCATCTTAATTTGTGGTAGACTAATCCATCCACAGTAGAAAAAAAGGGTTCCTGCTATCTATGCTTCCTCATGCACTTGTGTTCAACCAGACTGATTAAGTCACCTGCAGTACTTTTTAAAACTCATCGGTTAGCTTTGAGAGGAGTTGCCTTTGAAACAAGAATCAGTTGAATGATTCATCAATTCAATCTTCTACGTTTTACAGAGCAACAGGAATAAAGCGGCAGTGACTGAGTACTGTGCAAATTCCTTGGCAAGATTTCCTTAACTCTTTAACCCTTTAACTCCCAGAAGTGATCAACAAAAAACTTCTCCCTACAATATCCATACATTCTTCAGCGAACAGGTAATGAGAATATTCAAACTTATCAGGTAGAAGTTGCTACCTTGATCTAGCACCAAGTTCTCATAACTAATTTACAAGGAGATGTGAAGCTGTTACAGGGGAGAATTAACAATCAGATCTTGGGAGTTAAAGGGTTAACCTCTAAGAGTGATTAGCATCTAATTTCTCCTCACAATATCACCACTGAATCACACATTGTCATGAGAATAAAGGAAATGATCACCAACTAAAGAAACTCTCGATTGATAAACAAATTCTCCTTGCCAGCACCTTAGTAAATGTACAGAGAACAGTATGGAGAATATGAATTCTTTTGTTAGGGTGTAAAGGGTTAAAACCCCATACTTTCATACTCTGCCTACAGTTCTTTAACAGAAACAATAGATGCCTTTGGGAATAAGACTATGGTCAAGAATAGAATGAGCTTCGATGGAAACCGTTCCAATTCCTTTAGCAAGTACATTTATTCTTAATTACCCACCTTTCCGATGACATCTAGAGTAACTCTTGCAAACTCATCCGCCATGTCCACTATAGTTTTTCCGTCAGCCATTTTATCTAACTTTTCCAGAAATAAGTCACAGCTTTCGTTAAACGAAGTCATCAAATTCATCAAGTATTTTCGATGAAATGCTGGATTTAAGAGTGCTCTTCGCTTCTGCCAAGCATCATGGTCCACTTGAGTTAATAATCCACGTCCCATCATACGATAGCCAAACGGGTATCCGACATTTATGTATCCAAAAGGATTTTTCGGCAGATTAAGTGTAATTAAACATTTCCGGATGAGTTCAGGATCTGACACAAATGTGATTGGCCTGTGAAAAATCCATAAGAGAATTACTGGACCGTGAATTCGGTTGAGTTCGATGACCATTTCGGGAAAAATTTGTCCTTTCGCTATCCCGCGCTTGATATAAGGCAAGTTACCAGTGAAAAAGCTGTCCCGTTTTGGCCCAGGAAAATGACTATACTTCCAATGGAGGTATGCCAAGTAAATCGAAAAGGCTGAGAAGAGGATCGCAAGTAAAGCTGCAATCGAGATTACTGACCATAACATCACAGTACCAATCGTCGCCATGATGTTCGGAAACAGTAACCCTTTCCAACCTCTCCTCGGTTATGTTGATAAAAGCAAAAATTTGCCCCAGGCCTCACCTCGTATAGACAGGCTAGGACATGCTTACACAGTCGTCTCGTCAGTTTGATGGGTTCGCGAAGTTTCAGAAAAATACGTGATCATAACACATCAGACTGTACTATAGTTCGGACACATTATGAGTTTGACGTCTAAATCAAAGCCGCTCCAAATTTTTCTATGTAAATAATCTATCCTAGCTAAGCCAGGCGATAAAATTGGCTGGCTGGACCGTACTAAACTGAAACAGCGGCTCACTTAACTGATTCATACGCCAATCTTTTCGCAAACCCGTTTTGATCTAAATTAGCGTATCGATTCTAACTGCCGGCTCTGAATGAAGATATGAATTGTTGTGCTTGGGATTTGGGTTCGGGAATGTGGCTTTTGGAGATAATTCTAGGGGAATTTGTGGTACTGATGGTAAATTCTTGTAACACGGTGGGAAGAACATCGGTATGCTTGAAAATCTCTATATTTTAACATCATTCTTAACAATAAATTCTTTTGAAGGCACGATGCTAAAAGAGCTCTTTGTCAAGTCTAAAATAGGACAGGATTAATCCCTATTTCGTTCTGAAATAGTGTATGACCATAAATGACCAGGACAAAAGTCCTCCTTACCATATCAACGCAACATCAAGCAGACAAGTGATGAGGATAAAGAAAAATATTAAAAAGGGATTTAGTAGTGGATCCATTACCAAATTCTCTGGACTAACATCAGAAGAATTATACGGCAGACAGTAAGGAGAATCATTTATGATACCTGGTTGTGAAATCGTGAAAAATTTGCTAACTAAAAAAACGACAATAACAGAATGTAAAAAATACATGTTATTTGAGAATATAATTGTCATACATCAAGTTGAAAATGTGAATCTTTCGATACATTTCTTTAAATTAAATACATTTCTTTAAATTCCAAAAATAATCACGGTTATACGTTGCATGTGGCCCACTTAAAATACCTTCCACACATATAGGAACCCAGTTCATAATCTATGCCGCTCTAAACGTGTAACAGGTCACTCCATGACACAAAGAATTTTCTAAAAAAGTTTTAGCAGGATAACAAAAGTTCATTAAGGATGAAAAAATACTAGAGAAGTGATAAGATACCAATCAAGAAAGATAACAATGATGATGAAGAAATTAGTCTCAAGATGTACAGACCAAAATAAAAAGGGCTACTGACATGTCTACTTTTACGTCCAACGAAAAACTTGAGATTTTTATTTTCCTTTCCTTTTCCCGTTTTGTTCTTTATTTGATTTCGTTTCTGTTTTCTTTTTGTTCTGATTTTGTTTTGGTGTTTGTTCGTTTAAGAATACGTATTGTCGACGTTTTCTGAACCAGGTGGTCCGGAACCTAGTGCAATGCCGATTTTCGTTCATTTAACAAGCACCTTTAGGACAGTGCGAGGATCTAAGAGTAGCAATGTGTTTCAAGTACTTTGATGTGCAAAGGTCTTCCTAGAAGAATCTATTAACGGATGCTTTTCGTCTTTTTCTTCAATCTTCGTTCCGTTTTCTTGAACCTGGAAGAATAGGAAAACTCAGTAAAACTGTTATTAAAAAATTATATTTGAGTACAATATGGGCTCATGCATTTGATATTACAAACCGATTTTTTATCAAGGGCGAAAAACGATCGACGAGGCTTTTGCTTCGTGAGATAAAGCCATCCTTAGTATAGTCTGGCAACCTAATTCCCAGGTTCCCCTCTCTTCCGCCCTTGAGAAAGTACGAGGAGGAGAGAGGACCCTGGGAACTGGGTTGATTGAATAGAGGGGGTAAGTTTCAAAAGAAACTGTGGTGCTGCGTCGGTGGGAGAGTATAGCAGGTAATTTAGTTTTAACAACTGAGTTGAAAACATAAATTGGCCACCATAAAGTGTAAAAAAGCTGACGTTTCGAGCGTTAGCCCTTCGTCAGAGCGATATGATGATTGAAAAGACACTTTCTCTTAAGACCCAAAATCGCCTGAAATACATGTCGGTAAAAAATTTTATGTTTAAGAGAATCTAGCAATCTGCTTTTTGAATTCTGGTGCTGCTTCTCTACCGTTTCCGCCTGACAACTTAACTTGAAAGATGTCTTCAAGTGTTAAAATTGTACGATTTTAGAGCTATACCGAACATCAGAATTTGTCCTTTACCTTCGAATTCATTATGAAAACGTTGATTTTTCCAAAATAACAATCTTAATAACTTTCAAATGCAACTCCGTAACTGGAAAATGTTTGAAAATGATAGCAATATCTGAAAATACTTGCAGAGAAAAACTTACCTTTTTGTCGTTATCAAAGCAAGGCAATAGTAACACAACTCCTAACAGAAAGGCACCAATTACAATCAAACTATACTCGAACATCTTTGTTATCTTCATTGCCGTGTTCATTTTGGAAAATTTTTCACGGAAATCTGAGGCCTTTTCGTCGGTGATTTCTGCAACCTAAGGAAAAAGAACATATCAAATATTTGTTAAACTACCAATTTGGTGATTATGGGTAGTTGAAGTTGCTTCGAAGGGAAATTATCAGTCGAATCCTTAGGTCTTAGGTCTGCAGGGATTTTTTGTTGGTAGATTTTTAATCTCGCATCAGTGATCCTCATAGTAATTTGGAACTCGTATCTCAGTTTTGCAGTGAAATGCGAGAGATACTGATTGATAATTTACAGTGTTGGGATTTTAATGACTACAACTCTTGAAAATTTCTAGTGCGAAGATTTTGATGACCGCTTTGTATTTCCGCAACTGATACTGCAATTCTAGTGGATAACACTTTATTTACAATTAACTTAAACGTTTTCTTCTTTTTTATTCTTCTTTTATTTCGTGTTCACTAACTAGGAGCTGACATTTTTTGGGAAATGTAAACAATTATTGTACTATCATTTTGGTAAAATGGTTTTTGGTTTTAATTCATTGATAAAGCTGTTTTTCTAACTGTGTTTAAACTGCATTAACACAATGTTCTTATTTTTACTTCATTAGACGAGAAACTAATGAAAAGCAATTTAAGAGATCCTCGCAGCTAAGAACACTACTGAAGTAGTAGTTGAAAATAGAACCTGAAAAAAAATTCAGGCCCGTACGGGATTTGAACTCATGCCCTCTGCGATACCTCCTACCGATAGGATCTCTTAAATTCGTTTCTTCACCGCAGTGCAAATATATGAATTTCATATATCTGCAATCATTATTAGTGAAAAGTAGTTGTGTCAACTTTATACTGACTTGAAAACAAAAAATATATAGTCGAGGATATTTGTATACTTACAATAACAAAAAATATGGATCAGTCTAACTGGAGTTAACGAAAGGCGCGAATTCCTAAAGCGCTTTGTGGAAAAACAAGTGCATGAGACTGAAGTAAAACCGATTTACCTCGCTGGCGAACATAAAAGGTAAAAACACTTTTTCAAAACTCCCTTTGGTTTGGCTGTGAGGAAAAAAAAAGGAAAGGAAAATTAGGTGAAAAATTAAAAGAGGAGTGAAATACATTATTTCTATGTCGGGAGAAGAATCATTCAAGCAGTAATTAACAGCGTAAGATTATTGGCGTTCCCACACGATCGATTTGCAAACTTCTAGAGAGCTTCTCGCGAGCTTCTTGAGGGTGCAGCAATCCAAGTGGGCGTATGTTCGTAAGCTTCAATGAAAGGTTTTTTGATAAATGCCGGGGATATCAACAGAAGTGGTGCGAAGGCTAAAACAGTGCAATTCTGGTTCCGAGCGTTTTTCCTTTTGTGATAACAACGCATTTTGAAATGATCATTTTACCTTCCACAACTTTGTAAACGATGAAAAAAAATCAAATTCTGTGTGTAGTGCGCATGCCTCGTACGTCTGCTTAGGTAAGTACATTACTGATCGTGTACTATTCTTTTCTTCTTTGTTGCTCTCACACGCAAATTCTAAATAAACAGGATTGTTCTGTGCCATTTTTGTGATAACGACGCATTTTGTGATAACCTACGCATTTTGTAACAAAGACTGCGGCATTTTGTAATACGTGTTGCAGCACGAAGACAATTCTGAAGGGAGTTAAAAAGACGTTTCTATTATATTTACGGTAACACATCCACGGACTCCAGGGCAATGTTTATCTGAACCCTTTGGGCACCTCTCATTACAATGCCTGTTATCTGTCGAAGTGAACCAAAAAAAAAATTGTTAAATACTATGCGTTTGAGCAAGAAGTTGCCAACCGGGGAAGCAGCTGGAACGACACTGACCAGGATTTGAAACTCTTCAAATATAGTTGTAAATTGCGGAGATGAAAGTTAGATGGTTTCTAAAGTATACTTCTCCTTAAATGTATGGCCCTGGAAACAACCAGCCCCCACCCCTCACCAGAGGAAAACCTAACGAAAGACTCGAAACAACACCACAATTATATTGACCCAACACACAACCACTGCAACATCCAAGGGGAGAGGGGTGGGGGAAAAACAGGAATTCGTCCCCCAACCCCTTTCATTACAACTTGCAAGAGATCGCATAAAAAAATTCCATTGGTTTAACTAGTTTTAAAAAGAAATTTTTTAGTTATTTGGTTGACGTTACCATGGTATAATCTTTGCAGAAGAACTACATACACTGCTGTTTCCTAGTCCCAAAAGCAATGTAGACTTGTCAGTTGAGTGTGTGAATTTTTTCTTATGAAAATTGTGCGGGCTAGCTCACAAATTTCTTAAGCGCGCTTGCACCATGGGGGTGGAGGGGAATGGGATTTGGGAAGGCTGACATTGTATTGTCCCGTCATATCAAAACATACCTGGATAAAGCCTGTATTATAACTTTACTCACCGGTTCAATTTCCAAGAAAGTCTCGTGTTCACTCTTCTCTGGTTTCAGCCCATGAACCGTTTGTAACAGAGACTTATCACTTTGGTAGAAATGAGGAGGGGATGTAACTACTGGTGGATCTGGAAAATAACAAGAAAGAATGACAGGAAACTGGTTAATAAATAGTCGACCCATTAATGTCAGAATGGCTGTTCAGCGTGTTTCCTATTGCCGTTTACCCGAGAAAAAATAAATTCGTCACTTATCATCCAAAACTTGTGCCAACTGGAGAGAAGCTGCAACAGTTTTCAAGTTTCTGACTTGATCTATCTGGAACTCGTACACAACCCTAATGGAATTTGGCAATAATTTTAAAATGTGCTTTTCTTATTGGGAAAGACTTGGAAGGGATTTCTAAAATTCCCATCGAATCGAAAAGCTCCTTCGCACATGCAATGCGCATGCGCAATCTTTAACACTAAACTGAGCTGCCCTGCCCTTAGCGGATTGAATTTATTCACTTAACAAACATGACTGAAAAGTAACTCACTCATCGGCTGACAAAGACTAATATTCAACAATCCGGTTGGTAAGCAGCCAGGAGTTATGCAGAATCCTCTATTAGGAGGATATACATCGCCACTTTTAAAAACTTCATCTGATATTGTAACGCGATACAGCTTGATATCCTTTAAAGTGACTTCCTTTTCATACGTGAAATGCACGGATCTAGAGAGAGGAAAAGAAAACCATAGATCAACTTCCAAAGGTTCTGAAACTCCAGCAACGTAGGCCCCCAAATTTGGACTAAAATTTCAAAATCTGACGTCATCATTTTACGTCGAGTGGTTTGCGTGGCCCCGAACTGAAATTTTGGGTTACCCCCCCCCCCCCCCCCCCTTCAATTCAGAATCCAGGCCATCATTACTTATGAAAACACAGCTTTCATAAACAGAAACACGCATAGACATGCAATTAAGGTTAAAACTTCACAAGACTCTCTGCAGATTTTGATTAGGAGTAGCATACCAGGGTCTTACCTACAAATTCCTGGCGAGAAAACATAAAATTTGTTTTCTTTATCGACATCTGGAGCGAATTGAGTAGCGTCTGCATCAAAGCAAAATAACCAAATAAAATACAAAAAGATGACAAAATAAAAATTAAAATCAAAGGGAAATACTGCAAGATATTTTAATTCACGTGATATATCACCGCTAAGTAATGATATTAGGGAGCAATCAGGCACGTGATTTGAGAGTAAGAGCATGATTACCCATGAATTGTACGCCGCGAAGTCCAATTACCAATTCATAGTGTCAATAAAAAAATGCAGGATAGGAAAATTTAATGTGATGATACATACGTTTCTTATTGATTTATAATTGGCTAAATTAAATTTCAACTTTCTAAAGTCTGAAGGTTGTTCAAAATACCTAAAGCTCACTCAGGAGGTAATCTTCATTTTGATTTGCTGGTATTTGGCTGGTAGTTGAGTTTTATTGGCTATTAGCTATGGCTATTGGCTATTATCCGATTTGGCTTGTCTTTTTACAGAGGGTAGCAAAAGGGGAGGTCCTGATCACGTTTCACGCACGAATTTGAGAAAATTCACGCGTCACGTATTGAAATGGAAAAAATTCAAATCTCTCTTGTGCTCAAGGTTACAGGGAAATCTAGAGGTTTCCACAAAATGAAAGAAAAGAATTCCCTTTCCGCGTATATTTTAGGGAGCAAATCACACCTCACGTTAGTTCTTAAATTCAAGAATCACGCTCGCCGTTCTGTAAAAGATAACGCTTCGTATATCAATTTTGGCCTTAATTACGCGTCACGCACAAAGCTTTAGCCACCCTCATCACAAGTGAATGGTGCATTTGGACAAAACTGGAATTGAAACAACCAATTAAGAAATCATATTTTGTTATAGAAACGATCAAAATTGAAATCGTCAGCGAAATTATCTAAATTGCATTCATTTCAGTTCCAAAGTCATCCTGAATTAGGAATTGTTCAAATTTGTGTCATGTGCGCCAACCTACCAAACAACGCGCCAGTGCTAAGTCACGTGACTGTTCTTTTTGGGTTCTCAAAATGTCCTTGCGAACTTTATTTTTGTCTTTAGGGGCCGTTGTAAATACTTTGGTTTCGGACAGTTTAAGACACCCGCGGTCCATAAGCGCCCCAACAAGTGATGAAGGAATAAGTGATCATGCTAAGTCAATCAGTCCGTAGTTTTCCAGTTTTACCTGTAAATTATACCATTTTTCCCTTAACTTTGTCCATCGAAATACTAGACGTCCAAACTAGTTCACGAGTCCCTCAACAATTAATTGCCTTTTTTTCAGATTTTCATTTTCTAATGCGTAGTAATCAAAGGAGCAAACAGTTGTTTACATTAATTTTGTGGCATTACTAATCATACAGCATGTTATGCCTTTGCCTCCAAATACCTGTTCCGTTGATCATGTTTGCATATTTATCACTCCACCAGGATAAATGGCTGCAAGAGAAACATATTGTATTTTAGGTACCATATAAAAAATGGCTGCCTTAGATCCAAATGGATCTTAACTAAATACCTCACGAGCGAACCGTGAGCAGAATCGCCTCTAATTATGTGTGCTCGTGCTCGTATTTTTTTATTGAGGGTCAAAAGAATTATAGAAATTAATTTGTATTGTTTCATTATCTTCTGTGGGTGATCTAGAATCAGACGCAAAACTGACACAATGGCGATTTGGGTACCTTATCGCGCGCTCTGATTGGCCATAAAACCATTTTACATGAGCGTATGTAAACACGGTTTTCGTTCCTCTTTCATTAGTTATTTTATAAAAGAAATGTAAAATGGTTTCCGTGTTTACATAGCCTGATTTACATAGCCTCGATAAGCTGGAAACCACTCCGCTTCGCGTCGTGGTTTCCTACGCTTATCTCGTGTTCTCCCAACCTCCCAAGTGTTTACATCAGGCTATGTAAACACAGAAACCATTTTACATTTCTTCACTTGGTAATACTTACGATTCGTTTCTCCACATAGTGAACTGTTCCAGCTTGCTTATGTCAGTTCTTCCAGTGTTTACGGAACTGATGCCATAAAATGTGTTGTTGTACTGAAAACAAAAGGAAAGACGGTGAGTGCACGCGCAACTAAAAGGTACACAAACTCACTCTTCCTTGATACAATTCACTGCCATTGTCATTTGTACCAATTTCTCTTCTGAGCAGGCAGTAGTGCCGGGCCTTTTTAAAAACTCTTTTAACCCCAAGAGTGACTGCAATATCATGAACATCCCCACAGTTGAACTGCAGCTAAAGAAATTACAGATTCAAAGAAAACTGCAAAACCTTTTTGAATCTGTATCTCCTGAACACTAGTTGAGTGCTACACTAAACCAAGCTATGAAGCCTCTTGTTGAGAGTGAGGTGAATTTTAGCAAGTTTTTAATCTAATTATGTGAAGGAATCTGACATTTTGACTGTTCAGCTGTGAGGATATAAAAGAAGTTAGTTTCTTGTTATCATTTGTAGCTCAAAAAATGAATGATTTAATTTATTTGAACTACCAAATATCAGTAAAAACTTTCAGTGTAGGGAAATTTACTGAGGACTAAGATATAATGACCAAATTAACACAGGTAGCCATTTAGTATAATAATCATAAACAGCCAGAGCAATAAAGATTTCAGAACTTGAGAGTGACAGCTGCTAAAGAAGGAATTTGAAGCCAGCTGCACAAAGGAACTTCATCCATAAAATTTCAAGCAAGAATCAGCATTTTTCAGTTTATAGACAGGTAGGAAAAGACAGAATTGTAACATAAGGGATCATTTCTCAGACCCAATAAGGGCTATTGCTTGTGGCACTGGGTTATTGTACTCCTTAAATTGAAATCTTTGTTCTGAGTAACATGCCATATCTTAATTAGGTTGATAGATGTGTAATCCACAGCATCTTGATTGTGTGTCTGTTTGGTATATCAGATTCTTGACAAACACTTCTAGTCAAATTTAACCACAAGCATCTGTAATAGCTAAATATCGTCTAAGTCCTAGCATGTTTCTTTACCTGTAATTGGATAAATGTTGTAATTCCTTCTCGAGCAGGACATCCTGTTAGTTTGGAAATCTTGAGAAGGAACTTAAGAAATTCATCCTGATATCCCCAGAGTATATCATAAACGGTCTTCCTTCGAAACAATTTGAGCTTGAATTTGTCCACTGTAGCTTTAATTCCCGCTGAACAGACCTTAGGTTGTTCCTTTGTATAATTGGTATTTCTCAGCCACAAAGCCAAGGTCTGTAAAGTGACAAAAAATGCTCCAAGTCAGAAAAAAAGGAGATTTTCTCTAACATTTTTTCAAACAAGCAAAAATGTTGTCCAAAGTTGATCTTTCAGATGGGTCTCAAACATATTTATGCCCAAGAGCATGAACAGTATTATTATTATTATTATTATTATTATTATTATTATCACTATGGAGGGCATTGAGAAAATAAAAACTGAAAACTATGACCACAAACAGTCTGAACAATCATGTGAGGGGGCAAGTCAGTTAAAATATGTTTAAGCCTGCCACAATCTCCATTTTAGCCCACAAAATGCCATATTATGCCCAACAAAGTGATAATAATAAACCACATAAAACCTATACAATACAATTTATCTCATTTAATTTTGATCTATTAGCCTTTGGTACAGTTTCCATGACTAATAGGTTTTGGCTACAAATATTTCACTTTGCAGCTTACCAATAGAGGAATGTTGACGTTAACAAAAGTGTCATTCTTATCATGGCAACCAGCACAGGATGTCTCTGGATCAAAAATATATGTTCTGTTTGGCATGAATGTCACAATGCTGTCATCATCTGTCCACTTAAGCACCTTGTTTGACCTTAATTCTCTGTAAAGAAGATGCAAATCATAACATTACCTGCAGATTGAAAAGCATGTATCTGAGTGTACCCTACCAGATGGACACTTGAAAATGGAGTCTTGATTTTGGTCTTGTTATATTTACTGTAAAATGGATCTACATTCAGAGGAATGCACCTCTTTGGGTAGTGCACACACAAGAGGCAGTAGAATGCTTTGAAATATGAGAGGGAATGCAAGGGGGGAGGGGAGAGGGGGGCAGTGGGAATGGGTTGATGAAGCACTGAGCCTGTCACTTAGCTTTACTAAAATTTCCCAAAATGTCCTCTGAATAGTTTGTCAGCATATGCACATCTCTTTTACATTTTAATAGTTTTCAGTGTGTCCATAATCAACTTTTTATAGAGCAAGAAAGTCTCCCAACATATTGTTTAGCCAAGTGCAATCACAATGTTCAATCATTTGTTATGATAGAGAGTATTCAAAGAACTCAATCAAATTTCATCTTGTGTTTGCAATAATTTCTACATGGAAATGTGGGGAAGCTGTCCCCACCAAAACTTCCCTTTCCCTTCGATCTCTCTGCCTCTGTCCACCAAATTTAAGTTCATCTATGACCTAAACCTCTATTACCCTGGGGCATACCCAAGTTTTTTCAAAGGGGGGTCACACTGTGTCAAACAGAGGGTACTCACCAGTTGTTGCCACCTGAATATAGTTGGTTTTTTGCTTTTGGTCACAGGCACCCCAAGACCCCCAAGCTACTCCATTGATATCCTGCATCATGTGTGCAATACCAAAGGTTTTAAAAGCTGTATTGTTTGCTTTTTTGTTCAGAACAAAAAGCTTATTCATGCTTTAGTTCAACTTGACAACAATGCAGAAAGCTACTTGGTTATATAAAACCAACTAAACCGCTTAAATTGCATATGACTATATTTCAAACCCTCTAACATGAATAGGGAACATGTTTCTGTGATTAAACACTTTGGAGGATTTCAAATATGTTTAATAAAAAAAAAATTATAATAAAATGATAATAGTTATTAATAATAACATTCATCAATTATTATTTTTTCAATGACATTTTATGCATGGATTGTGGTACCTGTAGGAATATGGTCCAATCTGTTCCACATTGGGAGTTGCATTTCCATTCATTACCTCCTCAGGATTTGTCAGGTTAAACATATAGAACTTCTTATAGAAAGGGACACTTGAATTCACCCACTCTTTATACACTGTGCTGCCAGGTTTCAATTGGACATCCTAAGAATGAATGACTAGTAAGCTGTTAACACCCCCCTTTTTCATTAAGATAAAAATAAAATAAATACTTAGGAATTTAGCAATTCAGCTTCCACTTGGTAGCTATTCTTATTGACTTTTTCCAGGTCCAATTGGAATTTGGAGTGTTGGTTTTTTGAGAAGGGAGGAAAAGCAGAGGAGGGAAGGACCAGCACCAAAAACAAATTTAACCCACCTGTGAAGCCAGGACTGGGAAACAAACCCCGGCCACAGTGGTGGGAGGCAAGTGCCCTCATCACTGTACCATCCCTGCTCTCCAAAAGTATTTACACCAGTCTAATTTACAAAGCACTCTCTTGCTCTGCAAGCTGGCTGCAACTTAGACTTGTTGAGTGAAAAATATAAAGGAAAGAGAAAAAATATATCTTGGTGGAGGGGTGGGGATTACATACCCCCTACCTCAGGGAAAATTCAAATTCTGGAGTTTCAGACTTTTTTTTTACTATCTCATAGAACCTAAGTGTCTTTCCTCCAGTCCTTCTCAATTTTGCCCTACTGGTCCAGCTCTCCCCCACCCTCAATTTTTTTTGTAACATGTTGACCTTTAATAGTGACTAGCATCTAATTTCTCCCCACAATATCACCACCAAATCACACATTAAGGTCATGAGAATGAAGGAAGTGATCACCACCCAAAGAAGCTCTTGATAACTAAGCAAATTCACCTTGTAAGCACCTTGGGAAATTTATAGAGAACTGTAAGGAGAATATTCATACTGAGGGTTTATAGTCCATTTTACAGTTGTGTACTTAGTTGCCAAGCCTTTGATTTGGAGTGAGGCTGAAGGTGACCTTGCTGTGATAGAGACCAATATCTAGTTAGCATGATAACAAAGTAATTTGCATTTGAAAAGCAGCAAGGTTGGTATCATAACAAGGTCAACCTTAGCCTCACTCCTGTTCAAAGGCTTGGCAACCAAGCATACAACTGTAAAATGGACTATTTAAGAACTGCTCTCTGAGTTTCAAAAATACTGCTAAGAGGTACTCTGAAGCAGCATTTAGACCCGTAAAAAAGAAAAAAAACTGCGTAATATAGTCAAGAACTGGGCAAAAGAAAACTACATTTTAACTAAATTTTAAAGCTATTCGGAATACAATTTTAATAAAAATGGAACTGACCTCATTCACTTTATCCTTGATGAGCTTCGAGAACACATGACTTGCCGTTAATATAGTGCCACTTACAAGGAGAATGAGCCCGAAAACCGTAAGAGATGTGATAAAAACTCGTCTACTGCAACAACCAAAGAATGCCATGACGTATAGAAACTTATGGTAGATCTCGTAATGGAGTACAATTTGTCAAAGAGAAAACTATGGCATACTCTCACAAGAGCAAGGTCAATATAGAATCGCCGGCAATGTTTAGTTCGTTTCATAGGGTTTGCACGTAACTTCTCCCGTGACCTGCCTGTGAGACAATCAGCTGTGAATGATCGCCACATGTTCCCAGGAGTAAGTTAAATTGGATTTCCCCTGATTTAAAAAATCAGCCGAGTTTGATTCGTCACGCTAATTAGCACGATTACATTCGATGTCTGGCGCGTGTAAGCGGTTTGAACGTCCAGGTCGAGAAGGCTTGGGACTTGATGGCCGCGCTCTTGGGACAGTCACGCGATCTCACCTGAGTGCCTCAGGATCGATCGACCAGAGCGAGCAGTACCAAGTATGGCAGAGGGTGGCTATTGACATATATAGAGAAAGATATGTGAGGCGCTCCCTTGCTTCTTTATACAGAAACCGCGTGTGATCAGCAAAATATTATACAAAGAAATTTGTTTATCTGAATTATCCCCTCAAATTCTTTCAAGAACTCTTGCACCGAAAACGATTGAAGACTCGGAACAACCCACTTGCTAATAAATATTTTAGAGGAAGATATTTTTTGTCTTGTAGCGAGTGAGGGCTAAAGAAAAAAACTCTGAGTTCCTATGAGAAATCGAACCCTCGGATTCTGCGTTCCGATGCTCTACCACTGAGCCACAGAGATTCTGGTGAGAAAAAGCCCCAAAAAAGTCTATATATGACACGCGTACTGCATACTGCTAGGATCAGCAATACCGATGGCGTCGTGTTCTGTAATGAGCAAATGAGCAAGGCCCATCACAAAGTTCATTTATGACACGCGTCCTGCATACTGCTGGGATCAGCAATATACGTGCATCGGAGCGCGGAATCCGAAGGTCTGAGGTTCGATACCCCACGGGGACTCAGAATTTTTTCTTTGTCCCACGCTTGTGACAAAACGAAAAACATCTTTCTCTATTTCTTTATCGAGCCTAAAAATTACCATCTTTCTTATTTTATTTACAATAAATATTTATTGCAAGCAAGACCTTGATTTATTTGAGCGAATATCGTGGATCTATTTTCATTTAAGCACCAGTACCTCTATAAACATTTGAGAAGTCCTTGCTAAGAATTTTGATGACCCTAATCAAATTTCTCGCACCTTATGGAAGAAATGGTGCTAGACTTAAGCTAGGGCAAAAGCGTTAACTTTTATTTTATGGAACTCAAACTAATCTGCTATTTTATCATTTCTCGTAGTCTTTAAATTACATAAACACAAGAGCTCGAAAACGTTAGACATGCACAGGTGTCAAATCTGACTCGCCGCGCGCAGACCGCTGTTTGCTCACGTCACGCACAACGACCTGGTATGGGAAAGAAGGCGTTGCGTGACAAGACAGCGGCAGCTTGCGACGATACCAAACTGTCACGGCAAGAAAAAAACCCCTTTTCAGGATATTTTTCGATCCCACGACAGCATTTACAGTAACTCCCAGGTCCAAATCTTTCATTTCACACAAATCTATACAGTATTTCATCCAACAGGAAGTGAACGTGAGTTCAATTTACGAAGTACTTCGCAGTTTCCACCCAGGTAACTATATCGCTTTTAAGTAAAAACAAAAAAACAAAAAAAAAAACAAAACAAAACAAAAAAACACTCGAACAAACAAACAAAAAAGAAACACTGATAGGTTTCGACAGAATGAAAAACTATGGGCAACATCGATATAGCAGCACGAATTTTCTCTTGAAGAGCTTTATCTGAATACAGTTTAACATATCCGTCTAGGCCGAGTTGTTCAAAGTGGGACTGCCAGATAGACTGGGAGTTACCAAGGCAATAAAAACTCAGCCCTAAAATTGTTCAATTTAATTTAACTCATCCAGCATTTGATGCATTACATATATAAAAATAAAATTCAATTAGATTATCACTAGATTACTTTTTTGACGCTACTTAACTAACATTCCTCATGTTCGAAGAAAGAGTACAGCGTAGCTACATTACAAGGCGTTTAATGTATAAAAAAAGGATTATTTTATAGAGTCTTAAAAATCTAAACCAGAGTAATTAAAACAGAGCAGAGAAGACTTTTTCTAGGAACAAATTGTTATCCAGGTAAAAACAGAGCAAACTATCTGAAGCGCGTCAAAACGTGACTTACACACGCATTCGGCCTTTTCACTCGCAAGATCTCACTAGAAATTCTCCTTACCGTCTGCCATACAATTCTTATTATGTTCGTTCGCAGAATTTGGTCTTGGATCAACGAATTATCCCTTGATTTATATTCTTCTTTATTCTCATCACTTGTCTGCTTGATACTTATTGAAATTGTGAGAAGAAATTCTGCCTTGATCACTCATGGGAGCCTAAATCCTAACATTTGCTTGGTTGAGACAATGAAGAGTGAATTTTCTGGATCAATCACTAAGCGAGGTGTACCGAGACCATAGCAGTCCCTTATCACTTCCTCCACTGTTAGGAGCCTCTTTACACAAATTCGGGTTACTTGTTTAACTCGAGCTGAATCACCGAGAAGGAAAACCTTTAATGCAATGCCGGAAATGTTTGAAGGGGGTTTACATGCGAAAAAGCTGGATCAGACCCAACATGGAGGATTGAGCTGTGTCCTGTTCCTTCATGTTAACACTGGCGCATAAGTTAACTCGGTTGTATCTTTAACTTAATAAATTAGCATGCATATTTGTCTCGCTGTTAGTAATTCTACCCTTTCTATACTAATTTGAATATCATCGCTAATTGAATGTGCATAAAGTTCCATCATCACAAAATAAATTCAGTTTTTGCAAACAAACGAAGCTTTCAGCAACCTTTACAAAGCAGGTATGTATTCCTGTAAGAAAAAGTCCTTTTTTTTCCGGCGTCCTCTAATCCGCGTATTAAACATTTCCCAGCATTTCTCCATTTCATTTTCTTGAAAAGTTGGTGCAAGATCTCTTCTAGGTGTACATCGCGCTACTGTAGGAGAGAAAACTCGAGTTGTCATAAACTATAAATAAAATTTGTCATTTACCAGGCAACAGGTCCGTGAGGGAAAAAAACGATGCCCAAGGAGTCTGGAGTATAGCGTTAGTCTGAAGGCCGCTTTGCCGCGAAAGGCGTGGAAAATTTCCATCTCCGTGGACTGTACAGTAAAAATGTTGCATCTATTGCGAACGCGATTTGCTAATCAGACTCGAAGATTTAACATTTGATTCGCAGAAATGCTTCAGAAAAAATTAAGAAGTTGTCTTTCGGTGCACGCGTAAAAATCCATTAAACATCAGCGAAAAGTTAAAAAAGAGATAACTGGCTATTTAGAGCCTACCAAACTAAAATTGAGCACGACTTACCCGTCAGTAACAAGAGGCTGTCTCTCATCGTCCCTAACATGACCATCGCCCTAGGATGAGGAAACAAAACAAAGCATGTTTAACAACATAGCGTTTTGTAACTAGCTACTAGCTACAACTACGATGGAAAGTATTTTGAGCATTATATTTTCGATCTTTAAATCAACCAGAGTAACAAAAGGCAAAACAAATCAAAGCAATAACAATTATCAAGTAGCTTTGCAAAGCGACGATTTCTTCCGCCGGAAAGGATATCTGGATAAATAAATCCGTGTACTAAGAAAGAATGTGCTTTACAGACATGAGCGAGGAACTAATAGACACACAATCGACCTTCTCCGCCACAGATCAGCGAATAACAAATATTGGAAAACAAATATCTTTACGAGTACGTCATGGGTAACGAACCACTCAAGTTGATACCGGCCTTGCGCATGCGCTTTGAAAAGGGCTCACTCCAGGAGCCTGTGGTAGTGGGAATTCAGCGGTTCTACCCATTTCAGGTACCAAATCTCACGTTGATGCATATACCATAGGGAACACATTCCTTTTTCATTAACATATACATTTTTTACCAATATTTAAGAACCTTTAAATCTGATTTACCTCATTTACACGCAATTCTAGATCGTTTTTCTTCTTATTGGCCGTCAAGATCAGCAACAACAGGGCTACTAGAATGAACAGGGCTCCCAGCCCCATCAGAAAATATTGTATCACCTCTGTTATTGTGATTGGTAAATACACCTTGTGACGAAAATCGGCTGCTTTCCCGTCGGTAATTACAAAACTCTGAGGAGTTAAACTGCAAATTGTTAGACCTCCGCCACTTTACATATTAAACAAATTACAGGAGCTAAAATTCTCAAATCGTTTTTTTTTTTTCCCAAAGTTTTTCTAAGCTTGAAGTTCTTTAGAGACTCTCAAATGACTCCTAACGTAAGGATGCAAAGGAGAGGAGTAATTGAAGCTAAAATTGGCCTTACCTCACTAGCGTACATCACAGGAAGGAAAACTTTCGAAAATTTCCCATTAGTTGGACTGCAAAAAAAAAAAGCATATCAGCATATCTTTAAGTGCCTTTTTAAATCATTGATTTTAAAAATGTTGACACAAGTTGGGAGAGTTTAGGCATGATTGACTGATGGCCACGTAAACCAAGTTTTCAAGAGGCGCCTAGGACTCTTCAGCTCGCATGGTATTCAGCAAAGCGCAGTAAGTTTATATCCAAAATAAATTTATATCCACTTACGCGAACATTTTCACAGGCTCCACGGCAATGTTGATTTGAATCCTTTTAGCTGCCCTCATAACAATGCCAGTAATCTGGAAAAAAAGTTTCAGTGACAGACAGAAGAATTAAGGATTGACCAACATGACTGAAAGTTAAAGAAAGATGTTTGTTCGTCCGGTCACCGCCATCAGGACAAAGAAAAAGAATCTGAGTCCCCATGAGGAGGTGAACCAGACACCTTTGTATTCCGCCTTCCGATTCTCTACTCCTGGGCTAAAGAGAGTTTGGTGTGTGGGTTGAGCCTTCACCAGCTTCAGACGTGACATGCAACCATCATATTGTCACGATCAGCAATATGCTATGAAAGCTAGTCGTTGTTAGTAATGGTAATAGGAATTCCGTCTGTAATCATACGAGTGATTAACAAAATCGGACGACCGCGAAGCGGGAGTCCGATGGGTCAATCAAGAGTATGACTACAG